TATACATCATACTGTGGGTCCAATAACCATGATGGCCCTTAGGCCTTTATGCATCATACTGTGGGTCCAATAACCATGATGGCCCTTAGGCCTTTATACATCATACTGTGGGTCCAATAACCATGATGGCCCTTAGGCCTTTATGCATCATACTGTGGGTCCAATAACCATGATGGCCCTTAGGCCTTTATGCATCATACTGTGGGTCCAATAACCATGATGGCCCTTAGGCCTTTATGCATCATACTGTGGGTCCAATAACCATGATGGCCCTTAGGCCTTTATACATCATACTGTGGGTCCAATAACCATGATGGCCTTTATACATCATACTGTGGGTCCAATAACCATGATGGCCTTTATACATCATACTGTGGGTCCAATAACCATGATGGCCTTTATGCATCATACTGTGGGTCCAATAACCATGATGGCCTTTATGCATCATACTGTGGGTCCAATAACCATGATAGCCCTTAGGCCTTTATGCATCATACTGTGGGTCCAATAACCATGATAGCCCTTAGGCCTTTATGCATCATACTGTGGGTCCAATAACCATGATAGCCCTTAGGCCTTTATGCATCATACTGTGAGTCCAATAACCATGATAGCCCTTCTAAGGTGGTTCTATACCAACCTCCCCCTGTAGGTGTGTGTGTCCAGACTGAGACGGTGCTGCGACAGGCCATCGCAGAACGGATCAAGCCGGTTCTGATGATGAACAAGATGGACCGGGCGCTGTTGGAGCTGCAGCTGAAGCCCGACGCACTCTTCGCCACCTTCCAGCGCATCGTAGAGAACGTCAACGTCATCATCGCCACCTACGGAGAGGACGAGAGCGGACCCATGGGCAGCATCATGGTCAGTGTGTTACAGGGTTAGGGTGGTACCGTAAGATCCCTCCACAGTGTTAAGATGGTACCGTAAGATCCCTCCACAGTGTTAAGATGGTACCGTAAGATCCCTCCACAGAGTTAAGATGGTACCATAAGAGCCCTCCACAGTGTTAAGATGGTACCATAAGATCCCTCCACAGAGTTAAGATGGTACCATAAGATCCCTCCACAGAGTTAAGATGGTACCGTAAGATCCCTCCACAGTGTTAAGATGGTACCGTAAGATCACTCCACAGAGTTAAGATGGTACCATAAGAGCCCTCCACAGTGTTAAGATGGTACCGTAAGATCCCTCCACAGTGTTAAGATGGTACCGTAAGATCCCTCCAGTGTTAAGATTGTACCGTAAGATCCCTCCACAGAGTTAAGATGGGACCATAAGATCCCTCCACAGTGTTAAGATGGTACCATGAGATCACTCCAGGGTTAAGATGGTACCATAAGATCCCTCCAGGGTTAAGATGGTACCATAAGATCCCTCCACAGTGTTAAGATGGTACCGTAAGATCCCTCCAGTGTTAAGATGGTACCGTAAGATCCCTCCAGTGTTAAGATGGTACCATAAGATCCCTCCAGAGTTAAGATGGTACCATAAGATCCCTCCAGTGTTAAGATGGTACCGTAAGATCCCTCCAGTGTTAAGATGGTACCATAAGATCCCTCCAGAGTTAAGATGGTACCATAAGATCCCTCCACAGTGTTAAGATGGTACCATAAGATCCCTCCAGAGTTAAGATGGTATCATAAGATCCCTCCAGTGTTAAGATGGTACCGTAAGATCCCTCCAGTGTTAAGATGGTACCGTAAGATCCCTCCAGTGTTAAGATGGTATCGTAAGATCACTTCAGAGGGTTAAGATGGTACCATTAGATCACTCCAGAGGGTTAAGATGGTACCATTAGATCCCTCCAGGGTTAAGATGGTACCATTAGATCACTCCACAGCTCGAAATTGTTTCACTTGGTCCCTGAAATGCAAAATAAATATTTGGTGGCGCAACTGGCTAGTATGTTACGTGCATGTTTGCATGTATGTTAGTTAGTATGTTAAAAGCGGGCAGTCAAGTGTGTTTGCAAAGCAGAGGATCACTAGTTCAATCCCCTTGATGCGTCTGTTCCGTGTGTCCCTGTGTAGGTGGACCCAATGGTGGGCACAGTGGGTTTCGGCTCAGGCCTCCACGGCTGGGCCTTCACTCTGAAGCAGTTTGCTGAGATGTACGTGACCAAGTTCACAGCCAAGGGAGACAAAAAGACGGAGATGAACCCAGAGGAGCGCTGCAAGAAGGTGGAGGACATGATGAAGAAACTGTGGGGAGAAAAGTGAGTGGAGAGGAGAGAAGAGAGAGAACAGAGAGAGAGAGAGAACAGAGAAGAGAGAGAGAAGAGAGAGAGAAGAGAGAGAGAGAACAGAGAGAGAGAGAGAACAGAGAAGAGAGAGAGAAGAGAGAGAGAGAACAGAGAGAGAACAGAGAGGAGAGAGAACAGAGAGAGAAGAGAGAGAAGAGAGAGAGAGAACAGAGAGGAGAGAGAGAGAGAGAGAGAGGAAGGGAGATAGAGAACAGTTCAGTGGATGATTCTGGGTCAGTTTTCCAGACACAGATTAAACCTGGACTAAAAAGCAAACTCAATGGAGAATCGTTTTAGTCTAGGACCAGGCTTAATCGGTGTCCAGCAATGACTCCAGAGTACAGTTCAGTTAATGATAATGTGTTTTACTCCAGGTTCTTCGACCCTTCATGTGGAAAATTCAGCAAATCAGCCACCAACGCTGCAGGGGAAAAGCTCCCACGCACATTCTGCCAACTCGTCCTGGATCCCATCTTTAAGGTTTGTTTATGCCAAGGATCTGAGATTGATTATAGTCAAATGACTGGAGGTTTTTCAGTTAAAGAAATATATAGAGAGGTAGCACGCACATCTGAACTAAATAATGTGACATTCACATTCATCTTGTTTTGCCAAAGGTGTTTGATGCCATCATGAACTTTAACAAAGAGACCGCCGACAAGCTGATTAAGAAACTGGATGTGAAGCTAGATGCTGATGACAAGGAGAAGGAGGGGAAACCACTGCTGAAGGTATGTCACCGCTTCAGAAATGTGTAATAAGAAATGCTATTTATTTATTTTTTAAGCCGTTTTGTACCAGTATACTCTACTGAACATACTGGTATACCCTACTGAACATACTGGTATACCCTACTGAACATACTGGTATACTCTACTGAACATACTGGTATACTCTACTGAACATACTGGTATACCCTACTGAACATACTGGTATACTCTACTGAACATACTGGTATACTCTACTGAACATACTGGTATACCCTACTGAACATACTGGTATACCCTACTGAACATACTGGTATACCCTACTGAACATACTGGTATACCCTACTGAACATACTGGTATACCCTACTGAATATACTGGTATACTCTACTGAACATACTGGTATACCCTACTGAACATACTGGTATACTCTACTGAACATACTGGTATACTCTACTGAACATACTGGTATACTCTACTGAACATACTGGTATACTCTACTGAACATACTGGTATACCCTACTGAACATACTGGTATACTCTACTGAACATACTGGTATACCCTACTGAACATACTGGTATACCCTACTGAACATACTGGTATACTCTACTGAACATACTGGTATACTCTACTGAACATACTGGTATACCCTACTGAACATACTGGTATACCCTACTGAACATACTGGCATACTCTACTGAACATGCTGGTCCATAGTGATACAGTATAATGTTGTATTTCATTGTCCCCCAGGCAGTGATGCGCCGCTGGCTGCCAGCAGGGGACGCTCTGCTCCAGATGATCACCATCCACCTGCCCTCCCCCGTCACGGCCCAGAGGTACCGCTGTGAGCTGCTCTACGAGGGGCCTGGCGACGACGAGGCCGCTATGGGTGAGTTTATAGACTGGTGCTCCTGTCCAGCCTGGTTGTAGTAGTAGTAGTAATAGTATTAGTAGTAGTAATGATAGTAAAAGTAGTAGTAGTAGTAACAGTAGTAGTAGCAGCAGTAAAATTAGTAGTAGTAGTAAAATTATTATTATTAGTAGTAGTAGTAGCAGTAGCAGTAGTAGTAGTACTTCATTAGTACTGGTGCTTCAGTCTGTTTGTTGTACTGGTGCCTGAGAACGAGGAGTCTGTGGTGGGCGAGTCAGTCCAGCCTGGTAGTAGTTGTAGTAGTAGTTTATTAGTATGAAGGGCCCGGGGACGAAGATTCCACCATGGGTGAGTCGGAGTCTAGCCTGGTGCTCCAGTTCGTTCATTAGACGATTCTTCTGTCTGTCTGTTTGTTCTTCGTAATGCCAACAGCCAAACGATAGAAGAGCTGGCTACATCACCAGACTAGGGTGAATCGGGGGAAACGATTAACTACCCAGAGCCCAATTCAGATTAACTACCCAGAGCCCAATTCAGATTAACTACCCAGAGCTCAATTCAGATTAACTACCCAGAGCCCAATTCAGATTAACTACCCAGAGCCCAATTCAGATTAACTACCCAGAGCCCAATTCAGATTAACTACCCAGAGCTCAATTCAGATTAACTACCCAGAGCCCAATTCAGATTAACTACCCAGAGCCCAATTCAGATTAACTACCCAGAGCCCAATTCAGATTAACTACCCAGAGCTCAATTCAGATTAACTACCCAGAGCTCAATTCAGATTAACTACCCAGAGCCCAATTCAGATTAACTACCCAGAGCCCAATTCAGATTAACTACCCAGAGCTCAATTCAGATTAACTACCCAGAGCCCAATTCAGATTAACTACCCAGAACCCAATTCAGATTAACTACCCAGAGGCCAATTCAGATTAACTACCCAGAGCTCAATTCAGATTAACTACCCAGAGCTCAATTCAGATTAACTACCCAGAGCCCAATTCAGATTAACTACCCAGAGCCCAATTCAGATTAACTACCCAGAGCTCAATTCAGATTCTCAATCTTCTCCCGAAAATCATACATTCCCTGATCGCCCTCCCTCTTAACCCTCCCAGGCATTAAGAACTGCGACCCCAAAGCTCCCTTGATGATGTATATCTCCAAAATGGTGCCCACCAGCGACAAGGGTCGCTTCTACGCCTTTGGCCGTGTGTTCTCCGGCATGGTGGCTACAGGGCAGAAGGTTCGCATCATGGGACCCAACTACACTCCTGGCAAGAAGGAGGACCTGTACCTCAAACCCATCCAGAGGTACATGGAGATCTAATACATTCATGTCCTATTTAACAGCTCAAAGACAGTAGGGTTGCTCAACCAAATGAGGATATGTTGCATCCCATTGATATTTTAAGTAGAAATAATTTTCTTTTATGAAGTGCCTTTTTAATATAGACCACATGAAAAATTCAATAAATCCGATTTTTTTATATGAATAAGCACTTGCTAAAGTGCCAAAATGCAGCTTTTTGGCATGTCCCTCTGTGACCTGTAGGAAGATTTTAAACCACTTAACCACCACGTTTCACCATCATTTTAAAGCCCTACGTATTGTGTTGTTTTGACAGTCATTTCTGAAGATAATTATTTATTTCATGTGATAAGTGATTAATCTAAATCACATTAAATGTCTGTCCCTCATTTTAAGCTCACAAGGGGATTTATGGCAGTGGGGTCAACCATGTTACTTTATTTGCCACGTAATAGACACCTACTATTTAAACATTTTTATTTAACCTCTTGAGAAGTGAAAACTAGTTTTTTTTTTTTTTATGAAGTGTGCTCTTTATGACATAATGTTCAAATGAGGTGAACTAAGTTACATTACCCGAAATGTCCTTATTGGGTGGATGACCCAGTACACGTCCTATGGAACATGACTCGAGTGGCGCAGTGGTCTAAGGCACTGCATCGCAGTGCTAGCTGTGCCACTAGAGATCCTGGTTCGAATCCTGGCTCTGTTGTAGCCGGCCGCGACCGGGAGACCCATGGGGGCGGCGCACAGTTGTCCAGGGTAGGGGGAGGGAATGGCCGGCAGGGATGTAGCTCAGTTGGTAGAGCGTGGTGTTTGCAACGCCAGGGTTGTGGGTTCGATTCCAGTATAAAAAATAAAAATGTATGCACTAACTGTAAGTTGCTCTGGATAAGAGCGTCTGCTAAATGACTAAAATGTGTGAGTGTGTTCTACGCCAACATTTTTATAAAAGGTGAGGTCCTCTGACAAATATAATATAACTGCTAGACTTCACTAAACTCTGCTGTGTTCCCCCCCTGACTCCCAGGACCATCCTGATGATGGGGCGCTACACGGAGCCCATTGAGGACGTGCCGTGCGGCAACATCGTGGGTCTGGTGGGAGTGGACCAGTTCCTGGTGAAGACCGGGACCATCTCCACCTTCGAGCACGCCCACAACCTGAGGGTGATGAAGTTCAGCGTCAGCCCCGTGGTCAGGGTGGCCGTGGAGTGCAAGAACCCTGCTGACCTGCCCAAGCTAGTGGAGGGACTCAAACGCCTGGCCAAGTCTGACCCCATGGTCCAGGTACTATATACTAGTCTGACCCCATGGTCCAGGTACTATACTATACTAGTCTGACCCCATGGTCCAGGTACTATACTATACTAGTCTGACCCCATGGTCCAGGTACTATACTATACTAGTCTGACCCCATGGTCCCAGGTACTATACTAGTCTGACCCCATGGTCCAGGTACTATACTATACTAGTCTGACCCCATGGTCCAGGTACTATACTAGTCTGACCCCATGGTCCAGGTACTATACTATACTAGTCTGACCCCATGGTCCAGGTACTATACTATACTAGTCTGACCCCATGGTCCAGGTACTATACTATACTAGTCTGACCCCATGGTCCAGGTACTATACTATACTAGTCTGACCCCATGGTCCAGGTACTATACTATACTAGTCTGACCCCATGGTCCAGGTAACTATACTATACTAGTCTGACCCCATGGTCCAGGTACTATACTAGTCCTGACCCCATGGTCCAGGTACTATACTAGTCTGACCCCATGGTCCAGGTACATATACTAGTCTGACCCCATGGTCCAGGTACTATACTATACTAGTCTGACCCCATGGTCCAGGTACTATACTATACTAGTCTGACCCCATGGTCCAGGTACTATACTAGTCTGACCCCATGGTCCAGGTACTATACTAGTCTGACCCCATGGTCCAGGTACTATACTATACTAGTCTGACCCCATGGTCCAGGTACTATACTATACTAGTCTGACCCCATGGTCCAGGTAACTATACTAGTCTGACCCCATGGTCCAGGTACTATACTAGTCTGACCCCATGGTCCAGGTACTATACTATACTAGTCTGACCCCATGGTCCAGGTACTATACTATACTAGTCTGACCCCATGGTCCAGGTACTATACTATACTAGTCTGACCCCATGGTCCAGGTACTATACTATACTAGTCTGACCCCATGGTCCAGGTACTATACTAGTCTGACCCCATGGTCCAGGTACTATACTATACTAGTCTGACCCCATGGTCCAGGTACTATACTATACTAGTCTGACCCCATGGTCCAGGTTGTACTATACTATACTAGTCTGACCCCATGGTCCAGGTACATACTATACTAGTCTGACCCCATGGTCCAGGTTACTAACTATACTAGTCTGACCCCATGGTCCAGGTACTATTACTATACTAGTCTGACCCCATGGGTCCACGGTACGATACTCTACTAGTCTGACCCCCTTGGTCCAGGTACTATAACTATACTAGGTCTGACCCCATGGTACCAGGTACTATACTATACTAGTCTGGACCCCGGTCCAGTAATATACTATACTATCTGACCCCATGGGTCCAGGTACTATACCATGACTAGCTGAACCCCCATGGTTCCAGGTACTATACTATACGAGTCTGACCCCATGGTCCAGGGGTACTATACTATACTTATACTAGTCTGACCCCATGGTTCCAGGTACTATACTAGTCTGGGACCCCATGGTCCATGGTACTATACTAGTCTGACCCACATGGTCCAGGTACTATATATACGAGTCGGAACCCATGGTCCAGGTAACTATACTATACTAGTCTGACCCCATAGGTCCCAGGTACTATACTATACTAGTCCTGGACCCCATGGTCCAGGTACTATACTAACTAGTCTGACCCCCTAGTCCAGGTACTATACTATACTAGTCTGGGCCCCATGGTCCAGGTACTATACTAGTCTGAACCCATGGTCCAGGTACTATACTATAATAGTCTGACCCCATGGTCCAGGTACTATACTATACTATACTAGTCTGACCCCATGGTCCAGGTACTATACTATATAGTCTGACCCATGGTCCAGGTACTATACTATACTAGTCTGACCCCATGGTCCAGGTACTATACTATACTAGTCTGACCCCATGGTCCAGGTACTATACTATACTAGTCTGACCCCCTGGTCCAGGTACTATACTAGTCTGACCCCATGGTCCAGGTACTATCTATACTAGTCTGACCCCATGGTCCAGGTACTATACTATACTAGTCTGACCCCATGGTCCAGGTACTATACTATACTAGTCTGACCCCATGGTCCAGGTACTATACTAGTCTGACCCCATGGTCCAGGTACTATACTATACTAGTCTGACCCCATGGTCCAGGTACTATACTATACTAGTCTGACCCCATGGTCCAGGTACTATACTATACTAGTCTGACCCCATGGTCCAGGTACTATACTATACTAGTCTGACCCCATGGTACAGGTACTATACTATACTAGTCTGACCCCATGGTCCAGGTACTATACTATACTAGTCTGACCCCATGGTCCAGGTACTATACTATACTAGTCTGACCCCATGGTCCAGGTACTATACTAGTCTGACCCCATGGTCCAGGTACTATACTAGTCTGACCCCATGGTCCAGGTACTATACTATAACTAGTCTGACCCATGGTCCAGGTACTATACTATACTAGTCTGACCCCATGGTCCAGGTACTATACTATACTAGTCTGACCCCATGGTCCAGGTACTATACTATACTAGTCTGACCCCATGGTCCAGGTACTATACTAGTCTGACCCCATGGTCCAGGTACTATACTAGTCTGACCCCATGGTCCAGGTACTATACTATACTAGTCTGACCCCATGGTCCAGGTACTATACTATACTAGTCTGACCCCATGGTCCAGGTACTATACTATACTAGTCTGACCCCATGGTCCAGGTACTATACTAGTCTGACCCCATGGTCCAGGTACTATACTAGTCTGACCCCATGGTCCAGGTACTATACTAGTCTGACCAAATGGTCCAGGTACTATACTAGTCTGACCCCATGGTCCAGGTACTATACTATACTAGTCTGACCCCATGATATAGATGTAGGGAAACAGTGTGGTTTATGATAGAGATGTAGGGAAACAGTGTAGTTTATGATAGAGATGTAGGGAAACAGTGTCGTTTATGATAGAGATGTAGGAAACAGTGTGGTTTATGATAGAGATGTAGGGAAACAGTGTAGTTTATGATAGAGATGTAGGGAAACAGTGTGGTTTATGATAGAGATGTTGGGAAACAGTGTAGTTTATGATAGAGATGTAGGGAAACAGTGTGGTTTATGATAGAGATGTAGGGAAACAGTGTAGTTTATGATAGAGATGTTGGGAAACAGTGTAGTTTATTATAGAGATGTAGGGAAACAGTATAGTTTATGATAGAGATGTAGGGAAACAGTGTGGTTTATGATAGAGATGTAGGGAAACAGTGTGGTTTATGATAGAGATGTAGGGAAACAGTGTAGTTTATGATAGAGATGTAGGAAACAGTGTGGTTTATGATAGATATGTAGGGAAACAGTGTGGTTTATGATAGAGATGTAGGGAAACAGTGTGGTTTATGATAGAGATGTAGGGAAACAGTGTAGTTTATGATAGAGATGTAGGGAAACAGTGTAGTTTATGATAGAGATGTTGGGAAACAGTGTAGTTTATGATAGAGATGTAGGGAAACAGTGTGGTTTATGATAGAGATGTAGGGAAACAGTGTGGTTTATGATAGAGATGTAGGGAAACAGTGTGGTTTATGATAGAGATGTAGGGAAACAGTGTAGTTATGATAGAGATGTAGGAAACATGTGGTTTATGATAGAGATGTAGGGAAACAGTGTGGTTTATGATAGAGATGTAGGGAAAACAGTGTGGTTTATGATAGAGATTTAGGGGAAACAGTGTAGTTTGATAGAGATGTAGGGAAACAGTGTAGTTTATGATAGAGATGTTGGGAAACAGTATGGTTTATGATAGAGATGTAGGGAAACAGTGTAGTTTATGATAGAGATGTAGGGAAACAGTGTAGTTTATGATAGAGATGTTGGGAAACAGTGTGGTTTATGATAGAGCTGTAGGGAAACAGTGTAGTTTATGATAGAGATGTAGGGAAATAGTGTAGTTTATGGTAGAGATGTAGGGAAACAGTGTAGTTTATGATAGAGATGTTGGGAAACAGTGTCGTTTATGATAGAGATGTAGGGAAAAAGTGTGGTTTATGATAGAGATGTTGGGAAAACAGTGTAGTTTATGATAGAGATGTAGGGAAACAGTGTAGTTTGATAGAGATGTAGGGAAACAGTGTGGTTTATGATAGAGATGTAGGGAAACAGTGTGGTTTATGATAGAGATGTAGGGAAACAGTGTAGTTTATGATAGAGATGTAGGGAAACAGTGTGGTTTATGATAGAGATGTAGGGAAACAGTGTGGTTTATGATAGAGATGTTGGGAAACAGTGTGGTTTATGATATAGATGTTGGGAAACAGTGTAGTTTATGATAGATATGTTGGGAAACAGTGTGGTTTATGATAGAGATGTTGGGAAACAGTGTAGTTTATGATAGAGATGTAGGGAAACAGTGTGATTTATGATAGAGATGTAGGGAAACAGTATGGTTTATGATAGAGATGTTGGGAAACAGTGTGGTTTATGATAGAGATGTAGGGAAACAGTATCGTTTATGATAGAGATGTTGGGAAACAGTGTGGTTTATGATAGAGATGTAGGGAAACAGTGTGGTTTATGATAGAGATGTAGGGAAACAGTGTGGTTTATGATAGAGATGTAGGGAAACAGTGTGGTTTATGATAGAGATGTAGGCAAACAGTGGTTTATGATAGAGATGTTGGGAAACAGTGTAGTTTATGATAGAGATGTTGGGAAGCAGTGTGGTTTATGATAGAGATGTTGGGAAACAGTGTAGTTTATGATATAGATGTAGGGAAACAGTGTAGTTTATGTTAGAGATGTAGGGAAACAGTGTAGTTTATGATTGAGATGTAGGGAAACAGTGTGGTTTATGATAGAGATGTTGGGAAACAGTGTGGTTTATGTTAGAGATGTAGGGAAACAGTGTAGTTTAACTGTTTTCGTCCTCTCTCTGTGTGGCAGTGCATCATTGAGGAGTCTGGAGAACACATCGTAGCTGGAGCTGGAGAGCTGCATCTGGAGATCTGCCTGAAGGATCTGGAGGAGGATCACGCTGGTATCCCCTTGAAGGTTGGGACGATATTGACTTACTGCATTGTACAGGATATACATTGCACCTTTTCAAAAGGATGAAATTACCTTCTTTTGAATCACATCATAATTGTAACCTTTTTAATAATGAGTGAAGATACTAAAAAGCTGAATCCTCTTCATACGTCTTCCTTTCTCCCAGAAATCTGACCCTGTGGTGTCTTACCGCGAGACCGTAGCCGAGGATTCAGACCAGGTCTGCCTGTCCAAGTCCCCCAACAAACACAACCGTCTGTACATGAAGGCCCGGCCCTTCCAGGACGGTCTGGCAGAGGACATCGATAAGGGGGAGGTTAGCTCCAGACAGGAACTGAAGACCAGGGCTCGCTACCTGACTGAGAAGTACGAGTGGGAGGTTACAGAGGCCCGCAAAATCTGGTGTTTCGGCCCCGACGGGACGGGACCCAACATCCTGACGGACGTCACCAAGGGGGTGCAGTACCTCAACGAGATCAAGGACAGCGTGGTGGCGGGGTTCCAGTGGGCGTCCAAGGAGGTGAGCAGACGCCAGCAGGGTCGGGGGTCAAGTCCCTTTAGCACTAACTTTTAGAACCAGATCCAAACCACCAGTCACAAACTAACTCTTGGAATTAGAGAACCACACCACCAGTGACAAACTAACCCTTAGAACCAGAGAACCACACCACCAGTGACAAACTTCCTCTTTCCCAGGGTGTCCTGTGTGAGGAGAACATGAGGGGGATACGTTTCGACGTCCATGACGTGACGCTGCATGCGGACGCCATCCATAGAGGGGGCGGGCAGATCATCCCAACGGCACGCCGAGTCATCTACGCCTCTCAACTCACAGCTCAGCCACGCCTTATGGAACCAGTCTACCTGGTCGAGATCCAGGTGAGACATCTACGCCTCACAGTTCAGCCACACCTTATGGTGCCAATCTACCTGGTCCAGATCTAGGCGAGTCATCTACGCCTCTCAGCTCACAGTTCAGCCACGCCTTATGGTGGTCCAGATCTAGGCGAGTCCATGTGGAACTCAGGAGTGAGATTCAAAATCAGAATCACCTTTATACGCCAACACATTTACATATACCAGTAATTTGACCTGATGAAAAGCTTATTTTTCTGAAATTGTTTACAAATGGATTACATCTGTTAGTGAGCATTTCTCCTTTGCCAAGATAATCCATCCACCTGACAGCATATCAAGAAGCTGATTAAACAGCATGATTATTACACAGGTGCACCTTGTGCTGGGGACAATAAAAGGCCACTCTAAAATGTGCAGTTTTGTCACACAACACAATGCCACAGATGAAGTTGAGGGAGTGTACAATTGGAATGCAGACTGCAGGAATGTCCACCAGAGCTGTTGCCAGAGAATTGAATGTTCATTTCTCTACCATAAGCCACCTCCAACGTCGTTTTAGAGAATTTGGCAGTACGTCCATCCCGCCTCATAACCGCAGACCACGTGTAACCACGCCAGCCCAGGACCTCCACATCCGGCTTCTTCACCTGCGGGATAATCTGAGACCAGCCACCCGGACAGCTGATGAAACTGTGGGTTTGCACAACTGAAGAATTTCTGCACAAACTGTCAGAAAACGTCTCAGGGAAGCTCATCTGCGTGCTAGTCGTCCTCACCAGGGTCTTGACCTGACTGCAGTCCGGTGTCGTAGCGAACTTCAGTGGGCAGATGTTCACCTTCGATGGCCACTGGCACGCTGGAGAAGTGTGCTCTTCACGGACGAATCCCGGTTTCAACTGTACCGGGCAGATGGTAGACAGTGTGTATGGCGTCGTGTGGGCGAGCGGTTTGTTGACGTCAACGTTGTGAACAGAGTGCCCCATGGTGGGGTTATGGTATGGGTAGGCATAAGCTATGGACAACAAACACAATTGCATTTTATCGATGGCAATTTGAACGCACAGAGATACCGTGACGAGATCCTGAGGCCCATTGTCGTGCCATTAATCCGCCGTCATCCCCTCATGTTTCAGCATGATAATGCACGGACCCATTTCGCAAGGATCTGTACACAATTCCTGGAAGCTGAAAATGTCCCAGTTCTTCCATGGCCTGCATACTCACCAGACGTCACCCATTGAGCATGTTTGGGATGCTCTGGATCGATGTGTACGACAGCATGTTCCAGTTCCCGCCAATATCCAGCAACTTCGCAAAGCTATTGAAGAGGAGTGAGACAACATTCCACAGGCCACAATCAACAGCCTGATTAACTCTATGCAAAGGAGATGTGTCACGCTGCATGAGGCAAATGGTGGTCACACCAGATACTGACTGGTTTTCTGATCCATAACCCTACCTTTCTTTAAGGTATCTGTGCCCAACAGATGCATATCTGTATTCCCAGTCATGTGAAATCCATAGATTAGAGCCAAATGAATTTATTTCAATTGACTGATTTCCTTATATGAACTATAACTCAGTAAAATCTTTGAAATTGTTGCATGTTGTGTTTATATTTTTTGTTCAGTGTATTTCAACTTACCTAAACGTTCTTCCACAGTGTCCAGAGCACGTTGTTGGAGGGATCTACGGTGTGCTAAACAGAAAGAGAGGCATGGTATTTGAGGAGTCCCAGGTCGCTGGAACACCTATCTTCATCGTTAAGGCTTTCCTTCCAGTCAATGAATCATTTGGTGAGTTTCATCACACTTTCCAACTAATCATTTTCACCTTAACACTGAATGGAAACAGAACATTTAAAAGGAACGCATTCAAATGTAACTTTTCTAAAACTTTTTCTATTCTATAACTAAAAAGACTAATTTAGTAGGACCAGGACAATACCACAGTACTTGTTAGTATCGTGGCAAGCAAACAAAACGGATTTAACTTCTTTAGGAAAACAGCCCTTATGTTGGAAATAAACACTATGTTGTCATGTATTTACTTTCCAAGCTATATCACAAAATATTTTACATACAGCAGGTTTTTAATGGACCAAAGAGTTTTCCATGGAAATAATATCACGATACTGGTATCGTCACAGCCATATCATAAAGGATTCGCCCTTTACCAAGCAATGGTTCATCAATGTAAAACATCATATCCATTAGACATCATATCCAGCCAGGATAGGTGCGAAACAATGGAAATAGGAGTCAACCAACCAACCAACTAGTTACAGATAAGCATGACAAAACAACACAGACCTCTTGGTTGTTTATGAATATGTATTTTTATTTCCCCCGATGTTTTTAGGTTTCACAGCGGACCTGAGGTCCAACACGGGCGGCCAGGCCTTCCCCCAGTGTGTGTTCGACCACTGGCAGATCCTGCCCGGGGACCCCTTCGACGAGACCAGTCGGCCATGGCAAGTAGTGGCAGACACCCGCAAACGCAAAGGCCTCAAAGAGGGCATCCCTGCCCTGGACAACTACCTGGATAAACTGTGATCAACTGTGATTGGATTGCTGCTTCCCAGTGCAATTTAATCATCGTAGCACCCTAATGTGGAAATGTAAAAAAATACAAAACATAACCAAACAATAATAACAACAATGCACTATATTATAACAGAAAAGGGGTATGAGGGGGGGGAAAGTTGACTAATACAGGTATTAAAAAAGATACAGCTTTATTGTTTAAGTCTGTGAGATCCTGACAGCAAATAAAAAATGAGCACCTTGTTGTTTGTCTGTTTGCGTCATGATGGCATCCTTTACCCATAGCGAAACAAGAGGAGCATCCTTTACCCATAGCGAAACAAGAGGAGCATCCTTTACCCATAGCGAAACAAGAGGAGCATCCTTAACCCATAGAAAAACAAGAGGAGCATCCTTTACCCATAGCGAAACAAGAGGGGCATCCTTTACCCATAGCAAAACAAGAGGATAATCCTTTACCCATAGCGAAACAAGAGGAGGATTCTTTACCCATAGAAAAACAAGAGGAGCATCCTTTACCCATAGCGAAACAAGGGGAGCATCCTTTACCCATAGCAAAACAAGAGGAGCATCCTTTACCCATAGCAAAACAAGAGGAGCATCATTTACCCATAGCGAAACAAGGGGAGCATCCTTTACCCATAGCGAAACAAGGGGAGCATCCTTTACCCATAGCAAAACAAGAGGAGCATCCTTTACCCATAGCGAAACAAGAGGAGCATCCTTTACCCATAGCGAAACAAGAGGAGCATCCTTTACCCATAGCGAAACAAGGGGAGCATCCTTTACCCATAGTGAAACAAGAGGAGCATCCTTTACCCATAGCGAAACAAGAGGAGCATCCGTAACCCATAGCGAAACAAGAGGAGCATCCTTTACCCATAGCGAAACAAGAGGAGCATCCTTTACCTACATTTTTAAATTTCTACTCACATAGTATTTTAAGTTACCGTAACTTAACCAGCTAAGTAGGGCTACATTTCCCATAACATATTAAATATCTATTCCCTTAAATTCAAGTTCGCATAAGACTTCTGGTTCCATTTTAAAACATTAACCTAACTTCATCTAATGTAAGTCCTAACGTTTTAGTGGGTAGGTCCCCTTTCCCTAAACAACTCATACAAGGCCAACTAAATATGGGCCAACATATCATTTCTACACTTTAAAACTGCAGCACTAATTGCCTTAGCTAATTTATCTATTGAGTTTTGTTCATTAAATACAATTCACCATTTCAGGCCCTGATTGCGTTTTGCTACGTTCAACAAAATAATGCTCAATTGACAACTTCTCTCTACACAGCTATGTTGTGGGGTTGAAAATATCCTGCTTAACCTTCTACTCAACAAACGAAAGGTTCAAAATGTGGGACGGAAACCATTTGGGGATTTGGGGACATTAACTCATATACAATTTTACACATACAACAAAAAGGGGACGCTCCAAGACCGCAAAAAAAAGAATTAGATGGTACATACACACAAGGTCAAACTAAATACAAAACAATTTTTCAAAAACGCTGGGAAAGATGGCAGCATTTTATAAACACTCAACACTCTAGTTTGTTTCATTTTTGATAATTTGTACAAAAAACGAATTGTACCGCCAATTCATGGATCCCCCCCCCCCAAAGAACTAAGTTGTAATGCAGTCATGTTTTAGATACACTTTCAACCATGTTCAATGTACAGATCTGGAAAACTCAGTATTATTGCTGTGACTGAAGGGGAACACACATCCACTGTTAATGAGTTAGTAGAACAGTGAGCTGCCTTGGGATAAATCCTCCTCGGTACTGACAAAGATACGTTTTTAACCAATCAACAGTCACCCCCCCCCCCCCACACATTGTCTCACTTCCTGCGGAATGCTTCCATGTCAACTCATCCAATAGAAAACTTCCACATAATGTGAAGACAGACAGACTGGTAAAATTCCCTCCCCTTCTCTTCCACTTCAGGTCAGAGGTCAGGGGTGGTGTGTGTGTGGGGTGAGGCCAGCTCAGTTAACGTGGGCCTTTTCTATTTGGGAAACATCCATCCTCCGTCCTCTCCTCTGTGATCCGGGAAACCGATAAGTGGTCGAGTGGTCAAGGGAGATGTCAATTCGTTAGTAGGCGAACCAAAGAGTTTCCTCCTCTCCTCGAAAGCCACCTTTCCTCGAGGATAGTCATGTGTATCCTACCGGAGTCCTTCACGGAAGAGTTTTGAAATCTGCCCCCTTTGAATCAGCTGTTGTTTTGTGGGAGGAGAAAAGCATACAGACGTTTATAATCTACATGCTACTTATCGTTGTAGCTATAAAATGTCTTGCACAACTAACTTCATTCGGTAAAAAAAAAAAAATCACTACACATTTTGGGATCCACCCCTGTAAATGTCATTTTCGTCCACGTTCATTCACCTCGATTAACCTTTTACCTTTTTCAAAAGGAGGCGAGAGAGGATGCAGGAGTTGAGCAAATCCAATTGAGAAAAGGCTTTGGAGTCAATGGGTCCAACAGTCTCAACTATCTAAAATGGCTTCCTCTCCTAGTTTCCTTTCATCGGCACTGATCTAGCAAAGCAGGGGGCATGGTGAAAGAAAGCAATGTGTCCTAACTTCACTAGCAGACAGACAACTCTGTCATCTGTTCCAATTGTTCATAGACCGATAAAAGGAAAGGAACCCAGGGAAGCAGACCACTTAGCCTAGCTCTGGGATCTCCCTGTCCCACGGTGGCCTGTGGACATGGTGTGCGTCCAAAATGGCACGATATTCCCTATATAGCGCACTACCTCAGTCCTCGAAGGCTTTGTGTCTGATAGGAGGCTTAGTCCAATGAGCTCTCAGGGACCAGAGGATCAGTCCAATGAGATGATGTCTGACATGCTGTTTGACCCTGCCCCCCCGGTGATAACCCCAGTCTCATGGGAGGATGAGGAGGTGGTGGTGGTGTGGTGGTGGGAGCTGGGCTCGTACTGGCTAGAAGAGGACACCAGGGCGGCGCTAGTGGTGGCACCCTGCAGGCTGCTGGTCAGGTTATCCAGGAACATGGGAGCTCTGTAATGCTGTGAGTCACCTTGGATCAGCGAGAACAGATCCAGACCTAGTTGAGAGGGGAAAAGATTGTTTCACTCTCCTCCTCTGAACTCAAAGCTACATCACAGACATGGCTATTACCAGACATTTAAACAAAACATGTCATTGTTTGATTGGCAGGACAAGCAGGTCGAAGCACCAACTAGGGTTGCAAAGTTCCGGAAATTCACAGGTTTTCCAGAACTCCTGTTTGGAGGACTTCCTCACTCTCTCCTGATTCCCCAGACATCTGAGAACTAGCTCCACTGGTAATAGGGTGACTTCCTGTTCCTGTCTGTAGGGATGGTGAAAGGGTAACTTCCTGTTCCTGTCTATAGGGATGGTGAAAGGGTAACTTCCTGTTCCTGTCTGTAGGGATGGTGAAAGGGTAACTTCCTGTTCCTGTCTATAGGGATGGTGACAGGGTAACTTCCTGTTCCTGTCTGTAGGGATGGTGACAGGGTAACTTACTGTTCCTGTCTGTAGGGATGGTGACAGGGTAACTTCCTGTTCCTGTCTGTAGGGATGGTGACAGGGTGACTTCCTGTTCCTATCTATAGGGATGGTGACAGGGTGACTTCCTGTTCCTGTCTGTAGGAATGGTGACAGGGTGACTTCCTCTACATGTCTATAGGGATGGTGACAGGGTGACTTCCTCTGCATGTCTATAGGGATGGTGACAGGGTGACTTCCTCTACATGTCTATAGGGATGGTGACAGGGTGACTTCCTGTCCCCGTCTATAGGGATGGTGACAGGGTGACTTCCTCTACATGTCTGTAGGGATGGTGACAAGGTGACTTCCTGTTCCTGTCTGTAGGGATTGTGACAGGGTGACTTCCTGTTCCTGTCTATAGGGATGGTGACAGGGTAACTTCCTGTTCCTGTCTGTAGGGATTGTGACAGGGTGACTTCCTGTTCCTGTCTATAGGGATGGTGACAGGGTAACTTCCTGTTCCTGTCTGTAGGGATGGTGACAGGGTGACTTCCTGTTCCTGTCTATAGGGATGGTGACAGGGTGACTTCCAGTTCCTGTCTGTAGGGATGGTGACAGGGTGACTTCCTCTACATGTCTATAGGGATGGTGACAGGGTGACTTCCTGTTCCTGTCTGTAGGGATGGTGACAGGGTGACTTCCTGTTCCTGTCTGTAGGGATGGTGACAGGGTGACTTCCTCTACATGTCTGTAGGGATGGTGACAGGGTGACTTCCTGTTCCTGTCTATAGGGATGGTGACAGGGTGACTTACTCTGCATGTCTGTAGAGATGGTGACAGGGTGACTTCCTGTCCCTGTCTATAGGGATGGTGACAGGGTGACTTACCCTACATGTCTGTAGGGATGGTGACAGGGTGACTTCCTCTACATGTCTGTAGGGATGGTGACAGGGTGACTTCCTGTTACTGTCTATAGGGATGGTGACAGGGTGACTTCCTGTTCCTGTCTATAGGGATGGTGACAGGGTGACTTCCTCTACATGTCTGTAGGGATGGTGACAGGGTGACTTCCTGTTCCTGTCTGTAGGGATGGTGACAGGGTGACTTCCTGTTCCTGTCTGTAGGGATGGTGACAGGGTGACTTCCTCTACATGTCTGTAGGGATGGTGACAGGGTGACTTCCTGTTCCTGTCTGTAGGGATGGTGACAGGGTGACTTACTCTACATGTCTGTAGGGATGGTGACAGGGTGACTTCCTCTACATGTCTGTAGGGATGGTGACAGGGTGACTTACTCTGCATGTCTGTAGGGATGGTGACAGGGTGACTTCCTGTTCCTGTCTATAGGGATGGTGACAGGGTGACTTACTCTGCATGTCTGTAGGGATGGTGACAGGGTTACTTCCTGTTCCTGTCTATAGGGATGGTGACAGGGTGACTTCCTCTACATGTCTGTAGGGATGGTGACAGGGTGACTTCCTGTTCCTGTCTATAGGGATGGTGACAGGGTTACTTCCTGTTCCTGTCTATAGGGATGGTGACAGGGTGACTTCCTCTACATGTCTGTAGGGATGGTGACAGGGTGACTTACTCTGCATGTCTGTAGGGATGGTGACAGGGTGACTTCCTGTTCCTGTCTATAGGGATGGTGACAGGGTGACTTACTCTGCATGTCTGTAGGGATGGTGACAGGGTTACTTCCTGTTCCTGTCTATAGGGATGGTGACAGGGTGACTTCCTCTACATGTCTGTAGGGATGGTGACAGGGTGACTTCCTGTTCCTGTCTATAGGGATGGTGACAGGGTGACTTCCTGTTCCTGTCTGTAGGAATGGTGACAGGGTGACTTCCTCTACATGTCTATAGGGATGGTGACAGGGTGACTTCCTCTGCATGTCTATAGGGATGGTGACAGGGTGACTTCCTCTACATGTCTATAGGGATGGTGACAGGGTGACTTCCTGTCCCCGTCTATATGGATGGTGACAGGGTGACTTCCTCTACATGTCTGTAGGGATGGTGACAAGGTGACTTCCTGTTCCTGTCTGTAGGGATTGTGACAGGGTGACTTCCTGTTCCTGTCTATAGGGATGGTGACAGGGTAACTTCCTGTTCCTGTCTGTAGGGATTGTGACAGGGTGACTTCCTGTTCCTGTCTATAGGGATGGTGACAGGGTAACTTCCTGTTCCTGTCTGTAGGGATGGTGACAGGGTGACTTCCTGTTCCTGTCTATAGGGATGGTGACAGGGTGACTTCCAGTTCCTGTCTGTAGGGATGGTGACAGGGTGACTTCCTCTACATGTCTATAGGGATGGTGACAGGGTGACTTCCTGTTCCTGTCTGTAGGGATGGTGACAGGGTGACTTCCTGTTCCTGTCTGTAGGGATGGTGACAGGGTGACTTCCTCTACATGTCTGTAGGGATGGTGACAGGGTGACTTCCTGTTCCTGTCTATAGGGATGGTGACAGGGTGACTTACTCTGCATGTCTGTAGAGATGGTGACAGGGTGACTTCCTGTCCCTGTCTATAGGGATGGTGACAGGGTGACTTACCCTACATGTCTGTAGGGATGGTGACAGGGTGACTTCCTCTACATGTCTGTAGGGATGGTGACAGGGTGACTTCCTGTTACTGTCTATAGGGATGGTGACAGGGTGACTTCCTGTTCCTGTCTATAGGGATGGTGACAGGGTGACTTCCTCTACATGTCTGTAGGGATGGTGACAGGGTGACTTCCTGTTCCTGTCTGTAGGGATGGTGACAGGGTGACTTCCTGTTCCTGTCTGTAGGGATGGTGACAGGGTGACTTCCTCTACATGTCTGTAGGGATGGTGACAGGGTGACTTCCTGTTCCTGTCTGTAGGGATGGTGACAGGGTGACTTACTCTACATGTCTGTAGGGATGGTGACAGGGTGACTTCCTCTACATGTCTGTAGGGATGGTGACAGGGTGACTTACTCTGCATGTCTGTAGGGATGGTGACAGGGTGACTTCCTGTTCCTGTCTATAGGGATGGTGACAGGGTGACTTACTCTGCATGTCTGTAGGGATGGTGACAGGGTTACTTCCTGTTCCTGTCTATAGGGATGGTGACAGGGTGACTTCCTCTACATGTCTGTAGGGATGGTGACAGGGTGACTTCCTGTTCCTGTCTATAGGGATGGTGACAGGGTTACTTCCTGTTCCTGTCTATAGGGATGGTGACAGGGTGACTTCCTCTACATGTCTGTAGGGATGGTGACAGGGTGACTTACTCTGCATGTCTGTAGGGATGGTGACAGGGTGACTTCCTGTTCCTGTCTATAGGGATGGTGACAGGGTGACTTCCTCTACATGTCTATAGGGATGGTGACAGGGTTACTTACTCTGCATGTCTGTAGGGATGGTGACAGGGTTACTTACTCTGCATGTCTGTAGGGATGGTGACAGGGTGACTTCCTGTTCCTGTCTATAGGGATGGTGACAGGGTTACTTACTCTGCATGTCAGTAGGGATGGTGGACAGGGTAGAGTGGTGGAAGGGGACTGCATAGTCTGCTAGTGAAGACATCAGGTAGGGCGTGTCCAGGGCCTGTACATTTGGCAGGCGCACCGTCGACGGCTGGTACGTCAACACTCTGAAGGTTAGAAACACAGGGTAGATTCAGCGATCGTCAACGGGCCAACAACAAATAGCACAGAGCTAGAGTTTACTCTTTTTAGGAGTTGTTACACATTACAGCCGAGTGAAGCGGATGCCCTGTGTGGGTGCTCACAGGTTCAGCCTCCGGCATAACTCTACGTCGCAGTACGTTATTCACACTGCTGCTTGTGGTCATGTCATTTCGCTGAGTTAAGTGAAGATGACACCTTGCCTGTCTTTGACATGTAGAAGCAGACTAGTTAAGTTACAGACTAGTTAAGTTACAGACTAGTTAAGTTAGAGACTAGTTAAGTTACAGACTAGTTAAGTTACAGACTAGTTAAGTTACAGACTAGTTAAGACTAGGGTCATTGCACCTCAAAAAGCACAAGAAAGATGACTGACACCCACCATCTCAGATTGTGCTGAAATCGTTTCTATAGTTAGAAACAGATAAGATTAACTTTCCTGAAACATTGTTTAAATATAATTTGAACTCTGAGAAATTAAGCTAATTGATTACACCCAAATGTGCTATTTTAATTTTAAAAGGTTTAATTTTGATCTTCAAGAAATATAGTACCAAACAACAGAGTTTGATCATAATTCTTCCTAACAATGAGTAAGACATGAGGAATCCAATAAAAGCCACCTATGGACACACCAATCCCACCCCAACAACCAGTATACAGTATCAGTTCTCTACACTGCATTCGGAAAGTATTCAGACCCCTTCACTTTTTCCACATTTTGTTACGTTAAAGCCTTATTCTAAAATTGATAAAAATATATTTTTTCCTCATCATCTACACACAATACCCCATAATGACAAAGCGAAAACAGTTTGTGTGCAAATGTATTACAAATAAAAAGGAATTGTCCACAGAGCTCCTCGACAGGATTGTGTTGAGGCACAGATCTGGGGAAGGGTACCAAAACATTTCTGCAGCATTGAAGGTCCCCAAGAACACAGTGGCTTCCATCATTCTTAAATGGAAGAAGTTTGGAACCACCAAGACTCTTCCTAGAGCTGGCCGCCCGGCCAAACTGAGCAATCGGGGGAGAAGGGCCTTGGTCAGGGAGGTGACCAAGAACCCGATGGTCACTCTGACAGAGCTCTAGAGTTTCTCTGTGGAGATGGGAGAACCTTCCAGAAGGACAATCATCTCTGCAGCTCCACCAATCAGGCCTTTATGGTTGAGTGGCCAGACAGAAGCCACTCCTCAGTAAAAGGCACATGACAGCCCGCTTGGAGTTTGCCAAAAGGCACTTAAAGGAATCTCAGACCATGAGAAACAAGATTCTCTGGTCTAATGAAACCAAGATTGAACTTTTTTGCCTGAATGCCAAGCGTCACGTCCGGAGGAAACCTGGCACCATCCCTACGGTGAAGCATGGTGGTGGCAGCATCATGCTGTGGGGATGTCTTTCAGCAGCAGGGACTTGGAGACTAGTAAGGATCGAGGGAAAGATGAACGGAGCAAAGTACAGAGAGATCCTTGATGAAAACCTGCTCCAAAGCACTCAGGACCTCAGACTGGGGCGAAGGGTCACCTTCCAACAGGACAACGACCCTAAGCACACAGCCAAGACCTCGCAGGAGTGGCTTCGGGGCAAGTCTCTGAATGACCTTGAGTGGCCCAGCCAGAGCCCGGACTTGAACCCAATTGAACATCTCTGGAGGGACCTGATAATAGCTGTGCAGCAACGCTCCCCATCCAACCTGACAGAGCTTGAGAGGATCTGCAGAGAAGAATGGGAGAAACTCCCCAAATACAGGTGTGCCAAGCTTGTAGCGTCATACCCAAGAAGACTCAAGGCTGTAATCGCTGCCAAAGGTGCTTCAACAAAGCACTGAGTAAAGGGTCTTAATACTTATGTAAATGTGATATTTCAGTTTTATATATTTCCGAAAACCTGTTTTTGCTTTGTCATTATGGACTTTTGTGTGTAGATTGAGGGAAAAAACGATGTAATACATTTTAGAATAAGGCTGTAACATAACAAAATGTGGAAAAAGTCAAGGGGTCTGAATACTTTCCGAATGCGCTGTATTTGTACAGCTGTCACTGCCATCTTGTTTTTTGGAGTCTCGTTGCCCTAGCAACACACATACATGTAGACATGCTGCTGGAGAGCCAGTCCTGCATGCTCCCGTTGCCCTAGCAACACACATCCATGTAGACATGCTGCTGGAGAGCCAGTCCTGCATGATCTCCGTTGCCCTAGCAACACACATATATGTAGACATGCTGCTGGAGAGCCAGTCCTGCATGCTCCCGTTTCCCTAGCAACACACATCCATGTAGACATGCTGCTGGAGAGCCAGTCCTGCATGCGTCAAAACTTTGTTCATTTGCACAATGTCTCTCGTTCACATCCGCTTGTAAATGTCCAAACTCAGCAAAAATGACATTCAGTAGCTCCTACCTATATATGTATAACTTTATGAGCTGGATTGCCTGTCTTTGTCATTTGTTTATTTTGATTTGTACTCGTTAGCATATTTAGCTAGCAGCCTCCATGGAAATGCATTATTACTTGTCCTAATTTTGTTAGCATTCTGGTATTAGACACCCAATGGGCTTTTTAGCATTTTTTGGGGGGGGGCGGCCCCTTGTGTACTAAACTGGTAATACCATCTACCCCGGGTGAGAGAAGGACGGTATGACGATATGAAAATCTGGATACGGCCCACCCTAGGTGGTTGTGCAAAATAGTGTGTATGTCTGACATTAGTACCAGTTGTATCTGAGTTGGTCATACTTTTTTAGGTTTTACTTAGTGGGTAATGTTAGTGTCAGAGACCATAATAGTGTAGTTTAGATTGGCTACTCTTGGCCGTATCATGAAGCTGGCTAGCGTTAGCCACTAAGGCTATCGCTAGTAGCTACAGTGAGGGGAAAAAGTATTTGATCCCCTGCTGATTTTGTAAGTTTGCCCACTGACAAAGACATGATCAGTCTATAATTTTAATGGTAGGTTTATTTGAACAGTGAGAGACAGAATATTTTAAAAAATAATCAGAAAAACGCATGTCAAAAATGTTAGAAATTGATTTGCATTTTAATGAGGGAAGTAAGTATTTGACCCCCTCTCAATCAGAAAGATTTCTGGCTCCCAGGTGTCTTTTATACAGGTAACGAGCTGAGATTAGGAGCACACTCTTAAAGGGAGTGCTCCTAATCTCAGTTTGTTACCTGTATAAAAGACACCTGTCCACAGAAGCAATCAATCTATCAGATTCCAAACTCTCCACCGTGGCCAAGACCAAAGAGCTCTCCAAGGATGTCAGGGACAAGATTGGTGGAGACACTGTTGAAGGTAATATAGATTTTTTAACGCTGTTGAATATGCCAATAATACGGGGTTCCACGCTAACTAGCTAGCTAAGTAACAGTGTTGTACAACCAAACCAGTGGAGAAGTTGAGCCTCACGCTTCTGAACTCTTAGTTGCGGAAATTGACCCATTCGGCGATTTACTTTCTGCATCAACGTCACATCGCTGAGTCTATTTTGCAAGTGGTTTTATCTAAGTTATTTGATTGCTCCTAGTGTCAGACTGACAGTGCCACTTGAGCTCAATTGGTTAGGTGGTAGCTAACTTAATCTTAGCTGGCTAGCTAGCTACGTTTAAACATAGGTAGTAGCGTTAGCTGCCTAACGTTACTTTACGTTGCTTAGGCCTACAGTCTGTTTTAAGTGTATTTGACACAGACCACTAAACTTCCATGTCGGTATAGGGCACTTATCTAATTGAGGTTCGTTTTAGAAACAAGTGTACAGTTTCGCTAAGGTTCAGATGACACAACATTTACAGTGGGTTAAAATAGGCTGCTGTTAGCATGTTGCTGTTATACGGAGAACTGACCTATGTGAAGCTAGCCACAATAACTATTAGCCAGCCACAATAGTTGATTTTGAGGTTTACCTTCCAAATTATAAGTCCCTCAGTGAAACGGATGCAAACTGATTTAAATTGTGGAAATTGTGCCATATTTCAGCCAAATAATCCCCAACACTGTCAAGACTCAACCTACGCAAGCACATTCAGATCGACCACATGGTGGCGCTATAAAGGGCACATGCTTATATCGCTTGATCTGTTTGACTCAGAGTGATGACATTTGGCACACATGCTCAGGGATGTGAGTCCAGCTAACCTATAAAGTGTGGTTTATTTTGGCCACATGGTGGCGCTGTTGGACAGGAAGAACCATTCATGCAAGCTCATTGACTCATAGCGCCCATATTGTTTAAGTCCTGGGGAAAAAAATGTTGCGTTTAAAAACATGGGTACATGGATGCTATGTACCAAGATCGGTCCAGCAGTCCTGGAGAAGACGATGTTTAAAGTAGTCAACATCACTGAAAATGGTCCCAAAAATGATCCGTTTTATTTTGAGTTCTGATATTTGGCAAGTATGGCAAACAGTACAGAAGTAACTCCTCCTAGGGAAACGTGTCCAATTTTTCCTGACGGTGGCACAATGGGCACGCAGCTGAACCCCGGCAACGCTGCTTGCAGCTTTAATTATTATTTATTTTCTTCCGTAACGCCAAAAAAATCTAATGCAAATTCCCGTGAGATGGTAAGGCTTAGGTTGCAGCAACCTGGCATGATGGTAAAGGGACAAGGGCCACACCCTCTCGTACAATCAAATGCCAATTAGCCACAAGGTGGTGCTATAACAAACTTTGAAAGCACGAGTTAGAGCCCTAGATGTGGTCCCTCTCCTCACAAGGAACACATTTTGCCTCAATAACCCATAAAGTCCCCACGTGATACATTTTCCACCATTTTACATTTTGTGAAAAGCAATCAAAACGCTGCTCCTCTGGCACCGAATTACCGATCTGCACAAAACTTGATGAATGGCATCTATGTCTCCCAACGCAACATTGTCTAGGCTAGTATGTCAAACAACATGGCTGCTGCTGACCAATAAACATTCACGTGGTCTGTCACATAAATTCATACAGATCAGAAAATAATATTAACATTGCAACAAAACTTGGAGTACATGTTTCAAACACTGTCAAGACAGCATATGCAAGCACACTTCTGATCGAACACACGGTGGCGCTATAACGGGCACATGTTTATATCTCTTGATCTGTTTGACTCAGAGATGAAATTTGGTACACACACTCAGGGAGGTGAGTCTAGCTAACCTGTAGAGTATGGTTGAGTATGGCCGTATGGTGGCGCTGTTCATGCAAGCTCATTGAATCATAGCAGCCATGTGGTTTTAGCTAGACTCTTGGAAAATGTTGTGTTTAAAGACGTGCATCCATAGACGCTATATACCTAATTTGGTTCCGATCGATCCGGAGGTTCAGGAGAAGAGGTTTACAGTAGAGGTTCAGGAGAAGAAGTTTACAGTAGTCAATATCATACAAAATTGTCCAAGATACATCTAAAGTATATTGCATTGATTTTGAGTTGTGATATTTGCCAAGCACGGTAAACAGTACTGAAGTAGCTCATCCTAGAGTGATGTGTACATTCAGTCCTGATGGTGGCAGAGTGGGCCCACAGCTTGAACCCCGGCAATGCTGCTTGCACCTTTAATTATAATTATGCCGGTTCTTCTTGCGAGGAAAATTAACATGCAAATTCCTGTGAGACGGTAAGGCAGAGGAGGGTGCAACTGGACATGGTTAATGACATGGCGATCAGGAAGCTTAGTGGTTAAGAGCGTTGTGCCAGTAACCGAAAGGTCGCTGGTTCTAATCCCCGAGCCGACTAGGTGAAAAAATCTGTCGATGTGCCCTTGAGCAAGGCACTTAAACCTAATTGCTCATGTAAGTCGGTCTGGATAAGAGCGTCTGCTAAATTACTAAAATGTAAATGTAAAATGGTTAAGGCCCATAGTCCAGACCCTCTCATGCAATTTTGTGAAAACAATACTTTAAAAAGCTACTCCTCTGGCACCGAATGACCGTTCTGCATGAAACTTGATATGTTGCATCTATGGATCAGACACAGACAAACTGAGCTGCTTTCATGGAGGACTGGCTTGACTTGTGAGGATGACCAAACTATTTATTTTCACCATGAGCAAAAGCTATTTTGCAGGTAGCTTAGTGGGTAAGAGCGTAGTACCAGTTACCGAAAGGTCGCTGGTTCTAATCCCCGAGCCGACTAGGTGAAAAATCTGTCGATGTGCCCTTAAGCAAGGCACTTAACCCTAATTTCTCCTGTAAGTTGCTCTGGATGAGAAAAAGAAAATAGTTTTTTCTACCCAAAGTAGCAAAGAAAATGTTGTGATCCATTTAATAAACTCAAGCCTAGCCAACGGCCCTCGCTATATTCCCTCTAATCACTCTAAAAAACTTAATGAATACATTTTAATAATCTGAATGATGAGTACAAATGGTGATGGGAGTTAGAAGTCCCGTTCCGAAATGGACATAGGAAAGCCCCGGACCCAATATGCAAAAATATATTTTTAAAAACCCGTTCCCAACGGACCTAAGGACAACCAGACCCGTCACCGTATGGACCAGGTCGGGTCCATGTCCGGTCCGAGTAAGGGAAGCAGCAGATCATTTTGCTTCTTTATTAACCGGAGCTACGGAGAAACAGGAGAGAGAAGCACATCCGGGGGAGGAGCCACAGCTGTAGGCTTCTAGGGAGCGGGGGAGGAGCCGTGCGGGGCGTAAATGTAAAACACGGTGGGGGAGAGAGACACACGGTGGGGGAGGGAGGGAGAGATAGACACGGTGGGGGAGAGAGAGACAGGCGGTGGGGGAAAGAGAGACACACGGTGGGGGGAGAGAACACACGGGGGGGGAGAGAGAGAGAGACACACGGTGGGGGGAGAGAGAGAGAGACACACGGTGGGGGAGAGAGAGAGAGACACACGGTGGGGGAGAGAGAGAGAGAGACACGGGTGGGGGAGAGAGAGAGAGAGCACGGTGGGGGGAGAGAGATGAGAGAACGACGGTGGGGAGAGAGAGGAGACACGGGGGGGAGAGAGAGACACACGGTGGGGGAGAGAGAGAGAGACACGGTGGGGAGAGAGAGACACGGTGGGGGAGAGAGAGACACAACGTTGGGGAGAGAGAGCACACGGTGGGGGAGAGAGAGACAACGGTGGGGGAGAGAGAGGAGACACGGTGGGGGAGAGAGAGAGACACAGTGGGGGAGAGAGAGAGACACAGTGGGGAGAGAGAGACACACGGTGGGGGAGAGAGAGACACACGGTGGGGGGAGAGAGAGACACACGGTGGGGGAGAGAGACACACGGGTGGGGAGAGAGAGACACACGGTGGGGGAGAGAGACACACGGTGGGGGAGAGAGAACACACGGTGGGGGAGAGAGACACGGTGGGGGAGAGAGAGAGAGAGACCACCGTGTGGAAAGAGAGAGAGAGAGACACACGGTGGGGGGAGAGAGAGAGAGAGAGAGAGACACGGTGGGGAGAAAGAGGAGAAGACGGTGGGAGGGAAGAGAGAGACACATGGTGGGGGAGAGAGAGAGGAGACACACGGTGGGGAAGAGAGAGAGAACACACGGTGGGGGAGAGAGAGACACGTGGGGGAGAGAGAGACACACGGTGGGGGAAGAGAGAGAGAGAGAAGACACCGGTGGGGAGAGAGAGAGAGAGGACACACGGTGGGGAAGAGAGAGAGAGAGACAACACGTGGGGGGAGAGAGAGAGAGACACGGTGGGGGAAGAGAGAGAGAGATAACACGGTGGGGGGAGAGAGAGACACGGTGGGGAGAGAGAGACACGGTGGGGGAGAGAGAGACCGGTGGGGGAGAGAGAGAGACACACGGTGGGGGAGGAGAGACACCACGGTGGGGGAGAGAGAGAGACACGGTGGGGGAGAGAGAGACACACGGTGGGGGAGAGAGAGACACACGGTGGGGAGAGGAGAGACACACGTGGGGGAGAGAGAGACACGGTGGGGGAGGAGAGAACAGACGGTGGGGGGGGGGAGAGAGAGGATCACACGGTGGGGGAGAGACAGCACGGTGGGGAGAAGAGTACCACACGGTGGGGGGAGAGAGGAGACCATGGTGGGGGAGAGAGAGACACACGGTGGGGAGAGCAGGGAGAGAGAGGACACCGGTGGGGAGAGAGAGAAGAGAGAGACCCCACGGTGGGGGAGAGAGAGAGGAACGGTGGGGGAGAGAGAGAGAGACAAAACGGGGGGGGAGAGAGAGAGACACACGGTGGGGGGAGAGCAGAGACACACGGTGGGGGAGAGAGAGAGAGAGAGACCACCGGGGGGGGGGGAGAGAGAGAAGAGAGACACAGGTGGGGAAGAGAGAGAGAGAGGACACAACGGTGGGGGAAAAGAGAGAGACACGGTGGGGAGAGAGAGAGAGAGACACACGGTGGGGGAGAGAGAACCACCGGTGGGGGAAAAGAGAGACAAAGGGGGGGGAGAGAGAGACACGGTGGGGGAGAGGGGAGACCACGGTGGGGGAGAGAGAGACAAACCCCCGGGGGGGGAGAGAAGAGACACGGGGGGGGAGAGAGAGACCACACGGTGGGGGGAGGAGAGAGACACACGGTGGGGGAGAGGGGGAGACAAAACGGTGGGGGAGAGAGAGAGAAAACCGGTGGGGAGAAGGGGACCCCACGGTGGGGGAGAGAGAGACCACGGTGGGGGGGAGGGGAGAGACACACGGGGGGGAGAGAGACACACGGTGGGGGAGAGAGACACACGGTGGGGAGAGAGAGGGGGGGAGAGAGAACACGGTGGGGGGAGAAGAGACACACGGTGGGGGAGAGAGAGAGAGGGCAAACCACGGTGGGGGAGAAGAGAGAGACACACGGTGGGGAGAGAGGAAGAACACGGTGGGGAGAAGGAGAGACACACGGTGGGGGAGGAGAGACACACGGTGGGGGAGGGGAGACACACGGTGGGGGAGAGAGAGAGAGAGAGACACACGGTGGGGGGAGAGAGAGACACACGGTGGGGGAGAGAGAGACACCCGGTGGGGAGAGAGAGACCAACGGGTGGGGGAGAGAGAGACACACGGTGGGGGAGAGGAGACACCAAAGGTGGGGGGGAGAGAGAGACACATGGTGGGGGAGAGAGAGACACACGGTGGGGGGAGAGAAGAGAGAGAGAACACACGGTGGGGGGAGGAGAGAGAGAGAGAGACACACGGGGGGGGGGGAGAAGAGGGGAGAGAACACGGTGGGGGAGAGAGAGAGAGACACACGGTGGGGGAGAGAGAGAGAGACAAACACGGTGGGGGAGAGAGAAGAGACACACGGTGGGGGAGAGAGAGAGAGACCACACGGGGGGGAAGAGAGAGAGACACACGGTGGGGGAGAGAGAGAGGACACACGGTGGGGGGAAAAGAGAGAGACAAAACGGTGGGGGAGAGAGAGAGAGACACACGTGTGGGGGAAAAGAGAGAGACACACGTGGGGGGAGAGAGAGAGACACACGGTGGGGGAGAGAGAGACACACGGTGGGGGAGAAGAGACACACGGTGGGGGAGGGGAGACACACGGTGGGGGAAAAGAGAACACGGTGGGGGAGAGACACACGGTGGGGGAGAGAGAGACACGGTGGGGGGAGAGAGAGACACGGGGGGAGAAAAAGAGAGACACGGTGGGGGAGAGAGAGAGACAAAAGGTGGGGGAGAGAGAAGAGACACGGTGGGGGAGAGAGAGAGACACGGTGGGGGAGAGAGAGACACGGTGGGGGAGAGAGACACAACGGGGGGGGAGAGAGACACACGGTGGGGGAGAGAGAGACACACGGTGGGGGGGAGAGGAGAACACGGTGGGGAAAAGAGGAACACACGGTGGGGGAGAGAGAGACCCCACGGTGGGGGAGGGGGAAGAGAGAGACACGGTGGGGGAGAGAGAGGAGACACGGTGGGGGAGAGAGAGAGACACGGTGGGTGAGAGAGAGACACACGGTGGGGGAGAGAGAGAAAACGGTGGGGGGAGAGAGAGAGACAAAACGGTGGGGGAGAGAGAGACACACGGTGGGGGAGAGGGGAGAGACACGGTGGGGGAGAAGAAAAGAGACACGGTGGGGGGAGGAAAAGACACGGTGGGGGAGAGAGAGAGAGACAACGGTGGGGGAGAGAGAGAGACACCCGGTGGGGGAAAAGGACACACGGTGGGGGGAGAGAGGGGAGAGAGACACACGGTGGGGGAGAGAGAGACCCCCCGGTGGGGGGAGGGGAGAGAGAACAGAGACACACGGTGGGGGGAAGAGAGAGAGGAGACACACGGTGGGGGAGAGAGAGACACACGGTGGGGGAGAGAGAGACACACGTGGGGGAGAGGGGAGACACACGGTGGGGGAGAGAGAGACACACGGTGGGGAGAGAGAGAGAGACACGGGGGGGGAGAGAGAGAGAGACCACGGTGGGGGAGAGAGAGACACCCCGGTGGGGAGGGGAGACACACGGTGGGGTGAGAAGAGCACACGGTGGGGAGAGAGAGACAACGGTGGGGAGAGAGAGACACACGGGGGGGGGAGAGAGAGACACACGGTGGGGGAGAGAGAGAGACACGGTGGGGGAGAGAGAGAGACACGGTGGGGGGAGAGAGACCACGGTGGGGGAGAGAGAGAGACAACACGGTGGGGAGAGAGAGACACACGGTGGGGGGGAGAGAGAGAGAGAGACACACGGTGGGGGAGAGAGACACAAAGGTGGGGGGAGAGAGAGAGACACGGTGGGGGAGAGAGAGAGAGAGACACACGGTGGGGGAGAGAGAGACAACACGGGGGGAGAGAGAGAGACACGGTGGGGGAAGAGAGAGGAGACACACGGTGGGGGAGAGAGAGGGCAACCGGTGGGGGAGAGACACACGGGGGGGGAGAGAGAGAACCCACGGGGGGGAGAGAGAGAGAGAGACACACGGGGGGGAGAGAGAACACACGGTGGGGGAGAGAGAGACACACGGTGGGGGAGAAAAGACAACACGGTGGGGGAGAGAGAGAGACACGGTGGGGGAGAGAGAGAGACACGGTGGGGGGAGAGAGAGAGGGCACGGGTGGGGAGAGAGAGAGGGCACGGTGGGGGAGAGAGAGACCCCGTTTGGGGGAGAGAGAGAGACACGGTGGGGGAGAGAGAGAGACACGGTGGGGGAGAGAGAGACACACGGTGGGGGAGAGAGAGAGAGACACGGTGGGGGAGAGAGAGAGACACACGGTGGGGGAGAAAGAGAGACACGGTGGGGGAAAGAGGGCTGGTATCTCCCGCTAGACTAAGGTCTTGCTAGTTATTTATCAGAGTAAATACTACACTGTCTCGACTGCATCACACCGAGAGAAGCTAGCTAACTAGGCTAATTGAGGCTAGCCATAACATTACTGTGTTTGTCACCATCCTAAAGTTAGCCAAACACATAACAACATTATAAATGGCTGCCTACCTGTTGGCTTCTGGTCGTTGTAGCCTTTCCTTCTCATTTCACTTTGAATTCTGCCATTTTAATTCCATCTTCCATTGATTAAATATCTCCTAACTTGCTTTGCCACACAAGCAGAGCAGCAATGATATTCTCTCTCTCCCTCCGCGGGAAGAAAGGATCAGAACCTATGCCTTTTCCAAATCGCCAATAGCATTACATCATGCAGCCAGCCCATAGGTTTAGCTTTCTAAGACATTCTAAGGTTTGTAGGCCCATCACAACTAAAAAAAACCTTGCATTTTATTGTGATGTGTATATTTAATTGATTTATTCTACTTTTTTAAATGTAGATGTTCTAAAAAAAAAAGATCCGCATCAGTGGCCTGTATGCGTGGAGGCCCGGAGACGCCGAAAGTGTTTATATTAATTAACGGTCAATTACCGTGAGACCGGCAGTTATTTGCATGACAGTTACCGGCTGACAGAATGTAAGGACCACCACAGCCCTAGGAGAGACCCGTGAAGGCCAGTCAACCCACCCCTTGGCGTGCACCTCCTCCGTCTTGGACATGTAGAGGCATCTCTTCTTCAGCGGCGGGTCAGGATCCTCCTCCTCCTCCTCCTCCTCTGACGAGCTCTCCAGGGTCAGGTCGATCACGTCTGCCTTCTTATTGGCCGAGCTGGGCTCGCTGTGGGAGGGGACCACGGCACACAGACGCGCTTTGGGGGGGGGGGGGGTGTAAAGATTTGGAAAGTATCAAGTAACAGATCGACCAGTAGGTATATTGTGGATACAGTATTTATAGCAGTGACGGCTGACGTCTATAGGAGGACTTACGTTCTATTTTTGGGATACAGGTTGAGGACACATTGAGGGCCTCTTTCTTTGGTCTCATGGGGCACCAGGTCCCATCCTCCTGGAACTTGATCTCATCCACATCAGAGCAGTCGTTCAGAATCTCCATGAACAACCTGACAGACAGAGAGAGGGACAGAGACTCCCGTGTTCCAATGACGTTCCTTTGACATTCCATTCATGTTCTAAAAGTTCATTATAAACTGGGTGGTTCGAGCCCTGAATGCTGATTGGCTGACAGTCGTGGTATTTCAGATCGTATACCACGTGTATGACAAAACATTTATTTTTTACTGCTCTAATTACGTTGGTCACCAGTTTATAATAGCAATAAGGCACCTCGGAGATTTGGGGTATATGGCCAATATACCACGGCTAAGGGCTGTGTCCAGGCACTCCGCGTTGCGTCGTGCATAAGAACAGCCCTTAGCCGTGGTATATTGGCCATATACCACACCCCCTCTGGCCTTATTGCTTAAATAGAACACTACAGTATTCAGTTCTGCTATTTATACCATTCAGGGCTCTATTTAACCTCAGCTAATACAGTGCTTTGCAAATGTATTCCTCCCCCATGGCGTTTTTCCTATTTTGTTGCATTACAACCTGTAATTTAAATCGATTTTTATTTGGATTTCATGTAATGGACATACACAAAATAGTCCAAATTAGTGAAGTGAAATGAAAAAAATTACTTGTTTCAAAAAATGTGTACAAATAAATAACGGCAAAGTGGTGCGTGCATATGTATTCACCCCCTTTGCTATGAAGCCCCTAAATAAGATCTGGTGCAACCAATTACCTCCAGAAGTCACATAATTAGTTAAATAAAGTCCACCTGTGTCCAATCTAAGTGTCACATGATCTGTCACATGATCTCAGTGTATATACACCTGTTCTGAAAGGCCCCAGAGTCTGCAACACCACTAAGCAAGGGGCACCACCAAGCAAGCGGCACCATGAAGACCAAGGAGCTCTCCAAACAGGTCAGGGACAAAGTTGTGGAGAAGTACAGATCAGGGTTGGGTTATAAACAAATATTAGAAACTTTGAACATCCCACGGAGCACCATTAAATCCATTATTAAAATATTGAAAGAATATGGCACCACAACAAACCTGCCAAGAGAGGGCCGCCCACCAAAACTCACGGACCAGGCAAGGAGGGCATTAATCAGAGAGGCAACAAAGAGACCAAAGATAACCCTGAAGGAGCTGCAAAGCACCACATCGGAGATTGGAGTATCTGTCCATAGGACCACTTTAAGCCGTACACTCCACAGAGCTGGGCTTTACGGAAGAGTGGCCAGAAAAAAGCCATTGCTTAAAGAACAAAATAAGCAAACACGTTTAGTGTTCGCCAAAAGGCACGTGGGAGACTCCCCAAACATATGGAAGAAGGTACTCTGGTCAGATGAAACTAAATTGTTCCATCGGCAGGGACTGGGAAACTGGTCAGAATTGAAGGAATGATGGATGGCGCTAAATACAGGGAAATTATTGAGGGAAACCTGTTTCAGTCTTCCAGAGATTTGAGATTGGGCTGGAGGTTCACCTTCCAGCAGGACAATGACCCTAAGCATACTGCTAAAGCAACACTCAAGTGGTTTAAGGGGGAAAATGTAAATGTCTTGGAATGGCCTAGTCAAAGCCCAGACCTCAATCCAATTGAGAATCTGTGGTATGACTTAAAGATTGCTGTACACCAGCGGAAACCATCCAACTTGAATGAGCTGGAGCAGTTTTGCCTTGAAGAATGGGCAAAAATCCCAGTGGCTAGATGTGCCAAGCTAATAGAGACATACCCCAAGAGACTTGCAGCTGTAATTGCTGCAAAGGGTGGCTCTACAAAGTATTGACTTTGGGGGGGGGGGGGGGGTGAATAGTTATGCACGCTCAAGTTCTGTTTTTTTTTGTCTTATTTCTTGTTTGTTTCAGAATAAAAAAATATTTTTGCATCTTCAAAGTGGTAGGCATGTTGTGTAAATCAAATGATACAAACCCCCCCAAAAAATCAATTTTAATTCCAGGTTGTAAGGCAACAAAATAGGAAAAATGCCAACGGGGGTGAATACTTTCGCAAGTCACTAATACACTCGTAGTTACATAGTTACAAGATCTATTTATACCATTCAGCTCAGCTAATACAGTCTAACATAGTTACAAGATCATTGCCGCGGCAACAACCGGGATGTAAAATAAAACGTTACTAATAAAAATGGAATGAGAAGTCTAACAGTAGATTCCCCCCCTCACTGACCCGTCGATGATGTCACACACAGGATATATCCAGGTGTTATTATTATTATTAAGGGTTCAGCAGCGAAACCCTGAGGTCAGAGGTTACCAGGGTAACACCGTGTATTCGTTGCCATTGTTTATTATTTTCCTTCTGCTGATTTAAAGCAAATTTCCGTGAGATGGTAAGGCCTAGGAGGTAGTAACCTTGCTTGAGGCCACACCCTCTCATCTAACACCATGGTAACATGGTGGTGCTTTAACAAGCGATTAAAAATGCTAACTTTGAAAAGGTCACGCCCCTCACCCCATGGCCTAGAGTCCTGCAATTCAGTACATAGGTCCCGCTCCTCACAAAATAATACATTTCCCTCAAGGACCCATAAAGTCCACCACGATGGATTTTCTGCCATTTTTAAATTTAGTTTAAAAACACTTTAAAACGCTACTCCTCTGGCACCAAATGACCAAAACTGGATATGTGGCATCTACGGACCAATCACAAATTATGTTATTGCGCGATAGTATCTCAAACATGGCCGCTAGTGACCAATAAATATTCATGTGGGCGTGGTCTGGAAAATAAATGGAATACAACTCCGACACGGATATTCGCATTCTAACAAAACTTGGTACAAATGTTCCAAACATTGTCCAAACAAGACTCAACATACGCAAGCACATTCATATTGACCACAAGGTGGCGCTTTAAAGGGCACTTGTTAAAAATCTCTTGATCTGTTTGTCTCAAAGTGATGGAATTTGGCACACATGCTCAGGGATGAGTCTAGCTAACCTGTAAAGTATTTTTCAGGTTGGCTGCATGGTGGCGGCTTATAGTAGAGAAATGAACAAATTGTCTGGCAACATCTCTGGTGGACATTCCTGCAGTCAGCATGCCAATTACACGCTCCCTCAAAACTTCAGACATCTGCGGCATTGTGTTGTGTGACAAAACTGCACGTTTTAGAGTGGCCTTTTATTATCCCCAGCACAAGGTGCACCTGTGTAATGATCATGCCGTTTAATCAGCTTCTTGATATGCCACACCTGTCAGGTGGATGGATTATCTTGGCAAAATTAGAAATGCTCACAAACAGGGATGTAAACAAATTTGTGCGCAAAATTTGAGAGAAATAAAAAAAAATTGTGCGTATGGAACATTTCTGGGTTCTTTTATTTCCAGCTCATGAAACCAACACTTTACATGTTGCGTTTCTATTTTTGTTCAGTGTAGTTATAGAAAGGTACCAACCCGTCGATGATGAGGCTCTCGTAGGGGGCCTTCTTGTCACAGACAGGACAGACCCAGGTGGGTTTCTTCTCGTTCATCTGCAGGTAGAGCGCTGCGTCGAAACACTGCAGGTGGGAACAGGTGACAGCTCGACATGGCACTGTCAGACGCATCTTACCCAGCTGGAGAGGGAGGAGAGAGATGGGGGAGAGGGAGGGAGGAGAGAGAGGGAGGAGAGAGAGTGAGGAGAGAGAGGGAGGAGAGAGATGGGGGAGAGGGAGGGAGGAGAGAGAGGGAGGAGAGAGATGGGGGAGAGAGATGGGGGAGAGGAAGGGAGGAGAGAGACAAGAGTGAGTTTCACCACACTTTACATATTTGTAACACCCTATATTGTGGTCCTCTGTAGCTCAGCTGGTAGAGCACGGCGCTTGTAACGCCAAGGTAGTGGGTTCGATCCCCGGGACCACCCATACACAAAAATGTATGCACACATGACTGTAAGTCGCTTTGGATAAAAGCGTCTGCTGAATGGCATATTATTATTATTATTATATATATATCTTTGTCTGTCAGTAAAAGTGTAGCAGCATGATTGTATGAAATGTAGGTTTTCTTCCCCAGCATGTTTTACTCACGGGGCACATGAGCGACACTCTCAGACTGGTTGTGGCAATCTCACTGTCAGGGTCTGCGGTCAGCTTCTCTTTTACTGCAAGAGGACAGGGAAGATATGAAGGACATTACAGATTAAACACATAAACGGGTGTATGAGTGTGATTCAGTGGGAATCAATTACAATGAGCCTGTCTTCCAATTTATGTTTATGTGTGTGTGTGTGTGTGTGTGTGTGTGTGTGTGTGTGTGTGTGTGTGTGTGTGTGAGTGAGAGAGACTGTGTGTGTATGCTTTTGTGTGTGTGTGTGTGTGTGTGTGTATGAGTGTGACCACACAAGTGTGTGTGTGTGCTCACTCAGTGCTCTGGAGTGGTCAGGGTTTCTGATGCCCTTCATCCTGAGCCTCTGCAGCAGTAGAGGTGATGTGAGCTGTCTCACCAGGTACACCGACATGGAGTACGTCTAGAACAACAGTCAGAAATAGAATTATCTGTCCGCTTGAACAACACACGGAGTCCGTCTGGAACAACAGTCAGAAATAGAATTATCTGTCCGCTTGAACAACACACGGAGTACGTCTGAACAACACACGGAGTACGTCTGAACAACACACGGAGTACGTCTGAACAACACACGGAGTACGTCTGGAACATCATATCAGCTTGAAAGGCTGATGAAGTCTATGATGCAGAAAGGCATCTTTACAGTTTCCACTACTACAAATGAAGTTCCCAATCACAGAGTGAAGAATGCCCTGCTCCTCAAGGTTAGTGCTTACAGTACCTTTCCGATTTCGGCTGCCCACGTTACAGAGATCTGATTGGGTACGGCAGAGGACAATCTAACCAATGAGGTGATGTTTAGAGGTCTTCCAGGTCTCTTCTGTTCCACTCCATTTTTAGGGGGCGGGGCATAACCCTGAAAAACAAAACACACGTCTTACAGCATACTCGTTATCAACTTCACCATCACGTTATATTAGAAATAGTCTCACTTTAGTCTGTGCTGATCTAGGATCACTTGAGCCTTTTAGATCATAATGAATAAGATTAAATGGACAGGTGGGACCTGATCCTATATCAGCCGAGAAACGTACCGGCAGGGGGAAGAGCTTCCCATTAACTTTAATGCAGAGACTGTTGGGGTAGTTGTCTTCTTGGGGACAACTGGTTTCTGACAGACAGAACCTACAAGAAAAAAAAAATCAAGAAAAAATCAAAATGTGGAGAAGCGATAAACAAGCTGTTTGAAATAAATCCCCTCAGGGGCTCCAGGTGTCTGAATAGGTCCTGGAATTACGACTGCATTCGATCTATTCTCACCTCAGTTGTATCTGAACCATGTAGTCTCTTCTGCCACCTGGTAGGAAGTCCCTTTAAAGAAAGAACAAGAACACATGATAATTAGAAACAGAACTATTCCGGAAGACGTCAGGAGTAAGTAAGGCGCTGTGAGAGTAGAGAGCAGCCCCCATACCTGGAGATGCACACCTCCCTGACTTGTTGAGGCGTCAAGGCGAAGATGAAGTATTTCTCTTGGTGGTATCTCTGAACAGTGCTGGCTCCTAATAGAACAAGGACGTCGGATTGTGACGTGACGCAAATACAAAACATTCAGACACTTCATTGCAGTCTTTGGTCAGTAACGTCAAGCCTGGCCAGTGGACAGGTAATATGATGGAAGGTACACGTCATCAGAGAGATATTGACAACACCCATCATTTGGATCTATGAGAACTTGAGAAGTGTCTAAAATTAGAGCCCACAGGCTGGCTTAAGGCTCTACAGTGGAATGGCCAACAAGACAAGGACATCAGATTATGACCAGAATAAACAAACATTCAGGCACTTCATCACAGACTCCTTCATCAGTAATGTCAAGTCTGACCAGTAACATGAAGGGACCTAGATGAGGAGAGGGGACCAGTGATATGAAGGAACCTAGATGAGGAGAGGGGAGCAGTAATCATTCTGTAGCTCAATTGGTAGAGCATGGCGCTTGTAACGCCAGGGTAGTGGGGTTCGATCCCCGGGGACCACCCATACGTAAAAATGTATGCACGCATGACTGTAAGTCGCTTTGGATAAAAGCGTCTGCTAAATGGCATATTATTATTATTATTATTATTATTATCAATGTAAAGCCTGCCCAGTAATATGGTGGTGGTCCATCTAGATTTCCTAGAGACACTGACCCAGGCTGGAGGGTTTGATGAGGATGTCCAACACGTCGTAGAACGGCAGAGACTTCATCTGGACATCTGGGTGGACAGGGGGGATGAGAGGGGCGGGCTGCTGGAGGTTCATCCTCAGCTCCTTATTGGTCTCCTCGTGGAGCTGCAGCGAATCACCAGACAGGACCAGAGAATCACCGGAGAGGAGCAGCGAATCGGAGACCTGGTCAGAGTCCCGGGAGACACCGGCGGCGCCGTCAGGGGACAGGTCACTGAGGTCAGAGGTTACCAGGGTAACACCACAACCTACTTCCGCTGCCGTGGAGAACGCAGACTTAATGGCAGCCAAGTCGGTATGACTAGTGTCTATCGTCCTGGGATAGCGGCGTCGATAAAGTTCCTTGATTTTGATCTGGACGGCTGGACTGCAGGAGGCGTTCTTCAGGAGGTGCAAGACCCTCAGAAGGAGCTCATGCTTGCGACCACTCTTGTTTCGCCCAGCGAAGCCCAGTAACACTTGTAGCTCTGACACTCTGAAACTTGATACCATGCTCTGTAGAGACAAGGGGAGACATGAGGACACAGACAGGCTACCATGTCATTGCCATGTCATTGCCAGTATGGGAAAATTGTATGCACTCACTAACTGTAAGTCGCTCTGGATAAGAGCGTCTGCTAAATGACTAAAAATGTAAATGTAGAATTGTCAATGTAATGCAGCAATTAAGACATTGATAAAACATGATTAGGAATGATTAGGCTAATCATTTTGCCACTTGAGGAAAATTCAAGTTTTCATGCCATGTTTTCTTTAGTTCAAAATCAAGTTACAGTTGATTAGCCCCATTTTTAAGAAGTCAAAAGTGTAAAAGTATGTAACTAGGATGCTGTATATTCTGATATCCTAACAAAATAATGACTCAAATGTCACATTATCCTTACATGGCACACAGCCAGGTTAGCAATATTGTCTTTCAAAGCAAAAACACCAAACATGTCAATGGCAGGTAAAACTACCCAGAGTAGAGCTATTCCAACACAATTATTATTACACATTTTATGACCCCCACCCCCCACCCCCAGAACAGGAAAGGAATAAAACCCCAACTGACCCTTCATTATATGGTCCATGCTCGATCGCTCTTACGTGTGCATTTCCTTTGTTCTTAGAAATCCTTATTATATGTGACCGTTAAGCATCTAAAAAATGTTGAATGGGAATAACGCCAGAGCCATTAGATCAGATCAAACACCAAACACGGGGAGAGCATGGCATTGGGCAAGGCAGACAAATGATGGATGGAGAGCAGTGAGGCCGAGCGTTGACTTTAGAAAGGAAAAAACCACAACATTTGCTAGCTATATGGTTAGGTAGGCAAAGGAAAACTGTGGGACTGCAGAATCATGCTCGTGGTAAGAATTTGTTAAGCTATACAATGATGCTGTACACAAATAGGTATTGTTATGGGGCATTCATTTGATCATTTGAATAGCAACAGAAAAAACGTATCAAAATATCAATAATTCCTGCAAATGATGAACATGAGCATGGTTCCATATGTGAACATAACATTATCCGATCTTCTGATCTGGTTTTCAATCTTCACCAGCTCTTGCATGACTATGAAAATTATATATTCTGAATGAGGGGAGGGTGGAGAAAAATTCCACAGCTTTTTTATGAGTATTTTTTCTCTCCAGAATATATCATTTTTCAGTCATGGCACGCTTTGTTTAAACCGGTTAAATGTAACTAAATGTAATCGAAAATCTAAATCTACATAATCCGCAAAAGTAATTATTTATCATGAGGGCCATAAACAATAACTAGTAATGCTTAATACTCCAAGAAAAGGTTAAAATCTCACCTTTCTGGTAAAAATAGTTATAAATTGCTGAGGTGTAGTTAATTTTGAGGACACAAGCTCAAGTAAACAGCACAAATATGCAAAAAAATATGAACATTTTAAATATTGTATATGATGCATTTCCTATTCAACAAAACTGCATGAATAAGGCTTGAAATGACATATGCTTTCTAAATATAGTATAATAAAATTATAAAACGATTAACTATAAGATTTCACCTTCCTTATAAATGTTAAATACATATTTGTTTGTTTAGTGTTAGAGAAAATGTGCATATTTTCTAAAGGTCTCGATCAAAACGTCTGCCCCCATCGCTGTGAACGTCTCACAGAGCTCTAGCCTGGCTTCCTGAACTCGTTAGGAACTCGCCTTTCATCTCATATTAATTGTGTCCGTCTATGACAAACAGAAAGTGTTTTTTTGTGTTTAAAATCTATTAATTATTTTAGATTAATGGCTATAAATGGATCTCTGAATGTGCTACAGTGCTGAAACCAAGCTACGATATAAGGATTGCAGGCATGTGCTTTGACAGGGGCTGTGACATAGGGCTCAGCCAGGAGTTGATGGACAGTCGGAAGAGCGAATGAAATGGTAGGAGGGACATCCCAGCTTCAAATTTCACATCCTATGTCACACCGGCTCAGAAAATATACTACTGTGTCCATGGGAACCAGGGCTATCACTCAACCCAAGCCATTTCGATCTAAGGTGTCCACAGATCGATTTATAAGCAGAAACGTTGGTCGGAACCGGTACCTGAACCACGCAGGTCCCCTAAAACAGGGGACTTTACATTTAAGAAAAGTATTAATTAAGCGATATTGAAGATTGAAAGTTGGGGGAAAAAAACTATTTAAACAACAAAAAAGCTGTGCATTTTTCTCCATCCACCCCTAATTCAGAATATACCATCTTCATAGTCATGGCATGCACGAGCTAGTGAGATCCTATTGACGTGTTGTAGCATGTATCTGTGAAGAGCACGTGCGCACAAAAAAAAAAACACTTTAGCAAAGTGTCAAGTCTATAAAACTTAGTGCATTGAGTTTGTAACAAATTCTGGTTTTGGGAACAGAACATTTTATTGATATTAGATGTTTTATCGATGAGAAAAATGTGCAGAATGCAGGTCCAGTTTCACCTAGTTCCATCTTCTCCCACTACCCCCGACTGGACTTCCTGTCGTTACCATATTTGGTGGTGAGAAAACGTTCTAAACGGATGCTTCAGCTTTATATTAAACTAATTTAGCCTCGGTCTCATCTTATGTAGATGGCTAACTATCATTTGACTGATTCATAAAGTCGCTATCATTTTACTAAAATCTTACATTACAGTTAGTTACAGTAATGTTTATAGCGGTCCGGTCTAGATAACCTTATCTAGAATGTCAAACCTGAAAATTACTCTTATTTTTAGATAACAGTTAACAGCAGTCCAGCTAGTTAGCAACACTGAAAACAACAATAGTCGCTAGCTGGATAGCTAGTTATGTTAGCACAGCCTATTTGACTGTAAAATGAGTAGCTACCTACTGTAGTCAACTAACAGTATTTACATGCAACAGGTAACACACATTTTGTTAGATAAAGTGAATTAACGTGAAGCAACATTACAAAACAATTTCGCATTGATAAGCCAATGGCTACATGTGGATAATTGTTGTTAGCTAGCTCGCGGCATGCTAATGTCGAGAGCAGCACCGGTTGTTAGCTATGTAAAACAACAGACATGCAGTATTTTTTGCCTTTATAAAGCAGAATTCTAATTTATTGCCTTATCCGACAACGCAAATGTATTAAATGGAAGGATTAGCCGTAGTACAGCTTTCTACCTAGTGGCTATGCTTTTTATTTTATTTTAGCCTACCCGTAGCTCCTCAAATTCCGCCATTTTCTTGTCAGGATCATTGACCTCCCCGTCACATGACATGGGTGCCTGGCAGCGGAATGACGTGTCTTGGTGGGTGTTGATTGTTGTGAGGAACGCCCACAGGAAGTTGTGGGTGTTGATTGTTGTGAGGAACGCCCACAGGAAGGGCCCCTTTCATGGATGTCATGGTGACCAAGAGACAGTCAGTATTGCCGCGTTCAAAACAACTTGGCATACGCTTCCCGGCCGAAAACTGTTCTAAGCATATATTATGACGTTTTTGTTCGTTTTGGACTTCAGCGAGGGTTTTTTCGGCTGATCGGAAAACAATTTTTAAAAAATTATCGAGGCAAGCCAAAATCGGTAGCCGAAGTCTACGCCCCCTCGTCAGCGTTTGGTCAAGAGTAGGGATTCGTCTGTTGTCATTCAATGACAGACAACTCCTTCTCATGCAAATTTTTTCACTTGAGAAATACTGCATCAAACGTCCTAGCTTAGTCAGATACAAAATTGCGCGACTAAGATCTTCTTGGCAAAAACGTCTAAATGAATGACAGAATTCTTGATATATCTTAGCTTAATTCTGACTATTTTGAGGAAGCTTATACTGGCTACGCCGTCTCAAAATGGACAAACAGTACTATTGGCGCTTTTTTTTTTTTTTTTTTTTTTTAAGTGAAGGTCTTTTAAGGGAGTATTCGTGCAAGGTCGGGTTGCCTAGCTGTCTAGGCGCCAGCAGAACTGAAGCAGTCTGACACATACATTCAGTTGTTCCGAACTCACTTCCCTGGTGCAAGCACATGCGCAGATCAGATACACCGCTGGGTTGCTGATTAAGGCGTTCATATGTCCTAATCATTTGAAAGATTGCTCAGAAAACCAGGTGTTTTAGTCAGTTTATGCTTACTTCGATTTTGACCATACGCCAATTAAAATAAACAGTGTAAGGTGTTTACATGACTATTGCAACAATCTGCCTACTTCCATAATCAGTTTAATATCGAATTATTACTGTGCATGTAAACATACTTTTTTCTTTCTTTCTTTTCTTAGCAAAAGACAGAACTACAATACATGGCCTGACCGTCTTTTGGCCTATTCTGAGACCACATTTTTTGAAATTGGACATAGCCTACACCAGGGGTTTCAAACATACTGCCTGTGAGGGGGTCCAATCCGGCCCGCGGGTAGTTTGAGTAAAAAAAAGAAGATATATATATGTGGAGAGGTGGGTGGGGAAATAACAAACTCAATAATACTTTAAAATGACTTAAACCAAATCGAAATTGTGTAGAAATGATAATGGACCTATATTCAGAGTTTCTTGACTGTCCCGCTTGCTAATAATCACTACACAGTCAGGGAGCATAGCACATTCCAAATATGATGGGATAGAGGACAATTTTTAGCAAATTCTGAGGGCAAGAAAATATAACACATTTTCAAAAATGTAAATCTAAAAATCTAAAAATGAAAATGAAGATCGAATGCGGCCCCAGGGGCATAATGAGCTCGACACCCTTGGCCTACACATTACCGACTTGACACACGATGGCATGAAAACTCGTGGGCTAGCCAGTTGGTTTGAAAAACATGTAGGCCTAGCTAATGCCGCGTTCACGTCATGTCGGGAACTCGTAAATACGACCTTCCTACTGGGAAATCCATAATTATGACTAGGAAACTCTGATATTATTATTATTATTTATTCTGTAGTCGGAATGGTGCTATGCCAAAATGTGGACAGCCAGAGCTGGGAAAATGGCTGGGAGAATGGAAGGTGAATCCCTGTAGGGTGAATCCCTGTAGGGTGAATCCCTGTAGGGTGAATTCAGAATAAGTTGGACACTTTTAGCATTTCCGTCTTCTTTAACCTCTTCAGACGTCTGTCCAACGTATTAGTCCAACACATGATACATTTCAGAAATCCTCAGATGTTTCCTAATCACGATCATTGACCTCCCCATAATGCACCACTAAAAATGGCAACAAACATGACCACGATTTCAGCTGTCAATGGTGAGAATGTTTCTTGCGTTCCTTCTGAGCTCCGAGCACGGGAACGCTCCCTCCGATCAAAATTGCAGACTGAAAAAATCACTTTGAATCTCAAACCTTCTCAGCTAGACTTTGCTAAATGTATCGTGAGAATGAAATAGCAAAATCACTTACAGTTGTACTGTTTCAGTTAAGAATATTAATGAGAGCTAACATCAGGTTTGGTTTTGCTGTTGCGGTCGACGGCATAGCACCCATGCCGTCATTGTCTCATTGAAAACAATGACATCCGGTTTCGTTCTGCCATTGTAGCCGGCGTGCTGTGCCTATGTCAGATGGTGTGTTGCGTTGTGTTCTGGCGCCTTCCAAGAGGAGTCGTGCTGAGGGTTGGCTTTATTGACAGCTCTGGATCACAGGGCAACAGGAAAGGGGACGTCAAGGCTGGACAGGCTATATATTTGCTGTGCCTCCCCTCGTTCAGATGGAAACAGCTCTGCCATACATGCTCAATGTATCACATAATAAATAACAATAAGATATCACACTTCAATTTATAAGAGGCTTTAAGGTCAATAGCTAATAGAATAAGGCACCAATGTTGAAATATGAATAAAATATAAATAGATTAATTAGATGAATGAGCAGGAATTAGTGATATAAAAAGACTTCCAATATGATACAAACATTTCACAATATAATAGAATACAGAATAGGACAAATAGACAGTGTTCCACAATAACAAAGCCCCTCAATACAATTTAAATGACCCACAACCTGATTAAAAAGAGCTATGAAATCACAGATACAAATATGAACCAGGTTCTCAATTAATACCATCAATAGAATATCAAAATCCTATATTAAAAATGATTTTCAATGAAAGAACCTTGTAACCTAGGCTCAATGAATGAGCCAAATGGCTATTGAATCTGACACAGAACTGAATCATGAATAGACAAAAACCCACCCACACATATTTCGTACAGAATCTCCATAACTGGATCACAGGGCTAAAGGAAAGGGGACATCAGGGCTGGACATCGTACAGGCTAACGTTATACACTGAACACAAATATATATGCAACATGTAAAGTGTTGGTCCCATGTTTCATGAGCTGAAATAAAAGATCCCAGAAAAGTTCCATGCGCAGAAAAGCTTATTTCTCTCAAATTTGGTCCACAAATTTGTTTACATCCCTGTTAGTTAGCATTTCTCCTTTGCCGAGTTAATACATCCACCTGACAGGTGTGGCATATCAAGAAGCTGATTAAAGAGCATGATCATTACACATGTGCACCTTGTGCTGGGGACAATAAAAGGCCACTCTGTTTTGTCACACAACACAATGCCGCAGATGTCTGAAGTTTTGAGGGAGCGTGCAATTGGCATGCTGACTGCAGGAATGTCCACCAGAGCTTTTGACAGAGAATTGAATGTTAATTTCTCTACCATAAGCCGCCTCCAATGTCATTTTAGAGAATTTGGCAGTACGTCCAACCGGCCCCACAACCGCAGACCATGTGTATGGCGTCGTGTGGGCGAGCGGTTTGCTGATGTCAACATTTTGAACAGAGTGCCCCATGGTGGCGGTGGGGTTATGGTATGGGCAGGCATAAGCTACGGACAACGAACACAATTGCATTTTATCGATTGGCAATTTGAATGCACAAAAATACCACAACGAGTTCCTGAGGGCTGAGGTCCATTGTGAGGCCCATTTTTTTTAAAGGTATCTGTAACCAACAGATGCATATCTGTATTCCCAGTCATGTGAAATCCATAAATTAGGGCCTAATGAATTTATTTCAATTGACTGATTTCCTCATATGAACTTTAACTCAGTAAAATCGTAGAAAATATTTTTACACATTAAACACTGGCACAGGTCATTGCTATCTCGGTAATTTGTGATACAGGCCTTGCAGAAGTTGTGTTCACATGTTGTTCTGACTGGCTCAGCTAGACAGAAAGAGCACCCCCAAAAAACTGATCCAATCAACTTCTAAAAAGTGGAGAATTTTTTTTTTTTTAATGTAGCAAACACACTGTGGAACACAGTTCAACGCTGAGTACCAGAGAAACACACCGTGGAACACAGTTCAACTCTGAGTTACTGACCAAAAATACTTGCCACAATCACTGACCACAGCTTCTGACCACATCTACTGACCACAACCACACAACTACTAACCACAATTGCTAACCACAATTACTGACCACAACCAGACAACTACTGACAACAATTACTGACCACAACCACTGACCACAACTACTGACCCCTATTGACCACATATACTGACTATAACTACTGACCACATCTACTGACCACATACTATTGACCACACAATTACTGACCACAAGTACTGACCACAATTACTGACCTGAATTACTGACCACAACCAGACAACTACTGACCACAACCACACAACTACTGACCACAACTACTGACTACAACAACACAACTACAGACCACAACTAGAGACCACAACTACTGACCACAACTACTGACCAAAACTACTGACCACAGCCACACAGCTACTGACCACACAACTACTGACCACAACTACTGACCACAACAACACAGCTACAGACCACAATTACTGACCACAACTAATGACCACAACCAAACAACTACTGACCACAACTAATGCCCACAACTTCTGACCACAACCACACAACTACTGACCACAACCACATAACTACTGACCACAACCACCCAACTACTGACCACAACCACACAACTACTGACCACAACCACACAACTACTCACCACAACCACACAACTACTGACCACAACTACTGACCACAACAACACAACTACAGACCATAACTACTGACCACAACTACTGACCACAACTACTGAAAATAACTTCTGACCACGACTACTGACCACAGCTACTGATTGGTTTTGATAAAAACGCTTTATCTGCCTTCCCTCCCCGCTTTCGCCCAGTGGCGTGATGGGCCATGGCCCGGTGTACCCTGGGCCAGATTAATCAAACTCCCTCTCTGCTTGCTTAAGTTCTGCACCATGCTGTGTGCAGTCAGATGAAAACGACACGCTCGCTAACTTGGTTAGCTGTGTGATTAAATTAGTC